GCACATTCATGGCATTGGGAGTGAGGAGAACCTCAATGTCTTTCAAGGATAAATAATGTTTGATTGAATGATTGATCCTCCATTATTCATCATTTGTTATTTATTTAAACTTTGCAGTACTCTGAATCTTAAACGGTCAATAATCTGTCGTTACCACAATGTGCAATACTGAAACTACTGAGAATACTCTCTGTGCTTTAATACATGGATACATTATTTAATAATCTGCACTTTATACAAAGCTTATTCTTTACTAACATGCTGCTTGTTACATAACTGTGACACTCTTTCTTGTTCTTATGTTTTATCTCTTATTTAGATTCATTATTTCATTCTGTTTATTTCTCTACATTTCTACTGCTATGTTGTGTGTGAGAGCTACTGTAAGGACCAAATCTAGAAGTATTTCTGATTCTACTTTAAAGATTGAACACAAACTTTAATCTTTCTACTCTTCATGATAAGAGTTCCTTCTTGGGTACATAAAGAGTTTTAAATACATTCATATCAGTGATGAGATCAGTGTGTGTTCACATTAACACCTGTCTATTAACACACAGGAAACAGGCTATGGTTACTGTATCCTGTCTGTTGATACTTAGCTCCTCCTCCTTCAAAACCTCAGACTCTGCAGAAAACCACACAGCAGCTCAGCCCAGCTGTCAATCATCAGTCAGCAGCAGGGCTGATGGGAGTTCTGAGGACCTGTTAGAAACCGCCCGGCTCAGTCTGACCCGCAGCTCGTCCTGGTTTGGCCTCACTTCTCGTCAGGTTCACCAGAGGAAAACAACAAAATGTTTCTCCTCCCTGCTGTGGCTCTGTGCTGTGTGAGCTCAGGTGAGTGTTTCCAGCCAATCAGGTGCCAACAAACTCAACCTGTAATAAACCAGCCCTGTCTCTGTGTAATGACTTTAACTAAACTGTGGGATTATACTGATCTGGTTTTAACATTACCTCATCGAGGAGGTGAAAAAAGTGTTATTAATTGGAGACAGAGCTGAAAAAAAGAACTGTCTCACTAACCTCCATCTGTCTGTTTCTCTATAGCGCTGGCTGCCATGACAACAGAGCTCAAACAGGACAGTTTGTCACTAACCAGGAGAGTTGGAGAAAGTGTCTCCTTCAGCTGTGAACGTATAGACCTGTGTAGTTTAGGTGCTGGTTATGCGTTCTGGCTCCAGAAAAAAGACAACGAAACATTCACAGGGATTCTGAGGATTGATAGGGGTAGCATGAACAAAGCTGTTTTCAATCATCCTCAGAAAGATGATTTCTCAGCTGTGATCAAACAGAACAGCACTGAGCTGCAGATCCAGAAGGTTAATTCCTCTCATTCAGCCACATACTACTTCTCCTGTTTGTTAACACCCACAGTGAGAAATGATCCGAGCAGGCTGAACAAAAACCAACAGATGAGCAGAAGTCAGATAGTGTTTGTGACAGGAAGACAGCAGTAAACCACAGCTCACTGAGTCATTCACCTCCATCACACACAGGATGAACTGAGGGATTATTTTACTGGTGTCTGGATTGATTCTTCATTTTATTTCTTTGTTTTTCTCAATCAGATATTTCAGTAAGGTCATGGTTAGTCCACACTGTGAGGACAAAGAGAGAAGAGCAGAAACACATTGACAAAATAAATAAATACAATAAAATGAAGTCATCACTTTTTTAACATATTTTAGACACATTTCAAAATAACATGTCTTCCTCTGGCTCCAAGGCCAGGAGCAATACAGGATGGATACAATGCATGATGGTAAGGGGAATGTAAAAAGGCTGTGAGCCAGGTCCAGCCCTCAGCAGGTATTTTGCTTCTTTTCAGCATTATTTTCTGTTGGCATAAACCTTTGGCCATCTCAAAATGATAATGACCACATCCAACTCGGGACTTTAGTCTACATGATGTCACTGCACATATAAAGATACTATCAATCCATAAATAGTGATAGAGGTATGACGTTTGACAGGGAGTAACCTGAAACATATGACAAATTACAAATATAAGATTGAGGGGCTTGCTGCCATTGTGTTTTGAAATGTTTACCACAACATCTTACAAGACACAAAGAAAAACACTGTCCAATTCTCTTCAAACATGCCTACCCTTTTCATGTATTTAAAAACATAACTATATTCATCAGCCCTATTTGAGCCCAAGATGACCTTTGTGTATTCAAAGTGACTTTAGCTGTAACCATGTAATGCATGTTTGAAACTCAATAATCTTTCATTCAACAGCATTTTTTGATTCTTTTATTTTTTATTTAACTTAAGTTAAGGGTACTTTATCTCTCAATCAATCAACCAATCTTTATTTGTAAAGCACCAATTCATGTTAACACGTTATCTCGAGACACTTTACAAGAGAGCAGGTAAAAGACCTTACTCATTGTTATGTTACAAAGACCCAGCATTGATCCATCATGAGAACAGAACTTAGCAACATTTAGCAAAGTTACAGTGACAAGAAAAAACTTCTCTGTTTGAATACCTGCTTTTATTTGAAAGAAAATAACGAGCTTCTGTGGATCAAGGTTACAAAATGAACTTAACAGCTGAACTGTGAAAAAGGGAAATGTTTGAAGTCACATGGTGGATATTACTTTTGCCTCATAACTGAGCCGTGTAGTTCTTTAAGTAAATGAGACATTCAAAGGCGCAGTGGAGTCGTTCTTTTCCATCACTGAGGTTACAGGGAGATGCTGCAGAGTGTACGCCTAAAGGACAAAGTAGTTCATGCTTATTGAAAATGAATTCATTAATTTCAGTCCCTAGGGCCCTGTTTTTACAGACAGAGTTTTCAATACAAACCAATGGAGTTCAGTGTTTTCAGTGCTCAGCGCCCTGAGTGCTAAAATGTTTGTTTGTTCACAGCGCTCTTAGTTAAAAACAGTTCAAACTTTAGGAGCAGCTCGTCAATGTCACTTCTCCCTCACCGGCCAATCAGAATCAAGACGGGGCGGGACTTAAAACAACAGCTTTGTCAATAACAATGATGGAGGAGACTGACTCGTCTTTTCGAGGTTACAATTTCCAGAAGAAGAGCTGTGGCTGATGCCAGTACATCACTCCTTTACATGGTTTTCATGTTTTCTTGAGGATATTTCATTGAATTAAAGCAAATATCAAGCACTCAGAGCTCTCTAAAACACACCTAAAGGACATCACAGACCTAGTAACAATGGGCCTCATTCACCAACCGGTCTTAAGAACAATTCTGGACTTCAATCACTTACAACATTTTTTAGAAGATTTTGGATTCATCAATGTTTTTTTGTTCTTTGGTAAGAACAGAAGTTATGAACACTTAAGAACACTCTATACGCACATTTAAGTGCTGACTGGCCGGGACAAAATGATGGTTATTGTTTCTAATTTAAATAGATAATATTATAGGGTTTACATCAGCCTACAATATGTTGTTGAATAAAGAATGAAATATTTTATAAATATTTTATGATTCACTTGATACAACTGTTACGTCCCACCGTAAAGGCGGCCCTACGGGGCTAACAGCAAACCATACATTGACCCATTAAAAGACACTAACCACCTTAACAAAAGTCAAAACAAAGGGATTTATTACAAAATGACACACTAAATGATAACAAAGATCAAAAGAGACAACAGACGATCCCTGACTGAGCAGCACAGCAGTCCCAACTCAAAATGCCTCTCCTCTCTGCAGCCAGCACTGGCCTTTTAAGCACTGAGGCCAGGTGTACCTCGTTGTGCAATTAGTAGCTTCACCTGGGCTGGAGACAACAGAAGGGGAGAAGGGACACAGGGCACAGGGAAACACACAGCTGTAACACAACAGTGGTCTTTTAAAATAAATAATCTACACATGACACTTCAATTCACATGAATTATGTTTATTGAATCCCATGTGTCTTTTTTATTGTCCATCCATCCATCCATTTTCTTCCACTTATTCGAGGTCGGGTCGCGGTGGCAGCAGGCGCAGGAAGTCAACCCAGACTTCCCTCTCCCAGCAACACTTTCCAGCTCCTCCTGAGGGATTCCAGGCGTTCTGACCCCCAATTCACACATACTCGTGAATGCCGTGGTCCGTCAGCACCACGGTTTTGCTCTGTCGGACGGCTCGCGCCCATTCACACTGGATCCATTTCTGGGACGTCAGCGCAGCGGAGTGCACCCATGACACATCACAGGAGAACTACAAGATCCCGCGGGAATAAAGAGAAAAACATGCAAACAACATGTTGCTTTGTCTTTCTGATGATGAAATGTTCATTCTGTGCCTGTTTTGACGTTATGTTGATAAAGTGATGAAAAATACGATCGCGAGTCTATATATTGTGTTTTATTTTGAAATGGTGAAAATAGACTCGCTGCGTATTTGAAACAAAGAAGAGCGTAGTGCCGTTGGTGGCGCGCGCCGGAGATGGACTGCAGCAATAAATGAGAATAAATGAGAATAAATCATGAGTTTGAGGCACTTACGCCCCTTTTTCCAGCACACCGGACACTATTTCTATCGCTGGAATCGGTAAAGCCCTTGCCGGTGAAGGTTTTTTGAAATCCCTCGGGCATTGTAATCCAATTTTGAAAGCTTGACCAACATCTATAAAGATGACAGGCCATTAAAAAGAAATATCTCTTCCTTTATATCTGGACGACTCCAGTGCTTCAGAAGTAAATGAGTGAGGGATTTTGTGTTTTCATCATTTGTGAGGAAATCTTTCCAATCTGCAGCTTGATGAGGATTCAGACCATTAACTAGAAACCATTCAGCATTTCCTCTACGATCTCTCTCAGCTGGCTGATTTGGTTGAATAAAGATGGTAAGTATCTGAAAACTGTTAGAGCTGCAGCCGGTAGACTTCTGAAGATGTGGTCTGAATTTGTCTTCATTGTCTGTGGCACATATTTCTGATAGAATGAGGAGTTCCCATCTTGAATAATGTCTCACTGGCTAGGACAAAGGAGCTATGTGTTGTCAGTATCTTTTATCATGTAGTTCATCCCTCGGGCTTTGTTGTTTTTTACAAAGAAGACATTGTGGAGATGATATATGGTGTCAGAGTAAGGGGGATAGTGTTGAAGTTTGAAAGGTTGAATTATAACAGAAACAAACAATCTGGACAGCAACAGGCACAAAGCAATAAGTATCTAACCTCTGAATTTAGCCAGGTCATAATGTCATGTTCTGATACACGTACACACATACCCATCCACCCTTTCCTGGTAAGAGACCAGTTGTCTGGCCAAGAAACTTCTAGGAAATGGTCTTTATATAGCACACATGTTGTAATTGCCCAGTGTGATGATTGCTCATAACGGGATGATTGGGATGCTATAAAAGAACTGCTCTGAGAGAAATACACAGATCCTCCATTCACAAGCCATACGTCTCTGTCTGATTGTTCAAGAGCATTTACTCTTCTACAATAGCACATCAGCTCAGAGATGCTAATTTGTGACCTAAGCAGCTGTGATTTGATTAATACCTGAAATATAAACCCATTAAACTGGATCACTTTCTGGTTTGATGCTGTGGTGTAAGCCTTTTGTGTATATGTCTTTTGATAGATTAAAGAAATACTTTTTGAAAGAAGTCGATCACGGATGAACTCCTTCAGCACATCATAGTGTTCCTCTTCTGGTATAGCTGCTCCTGGAGACAAACTTATCAAGGTCTTAGAAGTCTTAAGCTGAAATGGGTGGATACAATGCTCACAAGCCTCTGTTGGTGCTGGACTTGCTTTTCAGACTTTGTGAAAATAAAGTCTCCTGGAGTTAGATCTCTTTGTTGATTTTCTGAATGCTCACCTGGCCACTTGTCATATCCCACATTGCTTCTAGAAACTCTCCATTAGCATTGGCAGTTAGGATATGACATTGACCGTCTTCATAATTGCTGGTGATTCAACAGATTGCAGCAGAATATTTCCTGGAACTTGATTTTGACTTGAACCATTTCATCACTGCTCTATTGTTTTGTCCGTGTGGCAGCCGTTTCCTGGGAAACTGACTGAACAAGCATGCTAAAGTTTCTCTGAGCCAGGATGAGTCTCAGACAGTGGCGTCATTAGGCCTATTTTAGGGGGCTGAAGCTTCATAGTATCATAAATCTGTCAGTTTCCTTCTTCATAGTGTAAGGTAGAGAGTCCTTCAGTGCGTTGTTATCCAATCCATTCCACTTGTTCATATAGAGAGACGCCCACATCACTGAAACTCCAGTCCACGTTTTCCCTGCGACCTTGCTTGCACTCGGTACCTGCAGTGTGTGTGTACCAAGGGGCAACCTCCGGTCTCGAAAAATGAAGCCTATGCGGAAGTACAAAAAACTGCAGTTCCTCGAGTGTCCGCTTGAGGCTGGCTGCAGAAGCGCCGGAAGTGCCATAAGCCCACAGCCAAAAAAGCCCGTTTTTACCACAGGAATCAACATGTTTACAGCCTGGTTCAAAAAACGAGATATATCTGATAAGTTGACGGCCCTTCTCCTCACACTGTGGGGGGTGAATTTTTTATAACTCGGATTTTATTCTATTAAGGAAAACGACTATGCCCATATTTGGTTGTGGCAGATTTGATTGACAGCTCTGCGCGCTGCAGCTGTCTGTCAGGTCAGCAGGTCAGGAGGCTAACAGCTTGATCCGTCTGATTTCTCCTCTTTTTTACTTTGTTTGGAGAGTTTGTTTAACACATATCTGACAACAAACATGGCTTGCTGTGCGGTTAACAGACCATCCAACAAGTTGATACTTCAGTTTTCTTTGGTAAGTGATATAGTAGTGTCATATTTACTGTATACTCGTGTTTATATTTACGGACCTAGCTTGTTTAGCATTAGCTTGTAAACCAGTCGGCTAACTGTGTAGCTCATTATTTACATTATTTACATTATTTACATTATTTACGGTCAATGGTTTAGAAATGTTTGTTGTTAAGATGTTGTTGTTGAAAATAATGAGTTTGTGTGATGTTAGAAGCTAAAGGTTCACCTCGGTGGTTATCTGACGTTATGATGAATGTTATACTCCACGTAAATGTGGACATTAAAAACAAACTTTGTGTAGTAATTATCCGTCAGTAACATAAACTGAACTGAACCTAATGTGCTGTGTAGGTTATAGAGGATGACAGTAAAGTTACATGGTTGATGTAGTGTCTTAAGATTTGTTAAGAAACTGTTAACAAATTTAAAAAAAACTATATTAATAACCATATTAATTTTCACTGAACTCATACACAGAATATAGCAGTAGAAATATAAAATATAAATAACATATGGAATGAAAATAAGATATAAAGCACATAGATATAAAGTATAAGAAATAGTTTGAAGAATACAGCCACGTACTGAGCTCATGTTAATAATAAATGAGTTACTGTATGTTCTGTACTAAAGCAGAGAGAGTTGGGACCTGTTAATGATTTAAATAATGCAGGTTATATTTGTTCCATGTGAAGATGAAGTACTATCCACAATAAGGTGCTTAATTTTTCCTCACCCAAAATCTGAGACCATTTGATGTGGAATATCATTGTGTGAGTGAGAGAGCTGAAAGCATGATTACAATAATTTATCTTCTTAACTTTGAATAGATGTTGATTACCTGAATACTGTACCTTGTTGTCTGGGTAGTACACTGTTGAATTTATAAATGTACTCTTACACACAGATGATACCGAAAATAGATGAGAACAAAAAAATGATTTAATGAATAACTGATATTTTCTCTCTTTCTTTGCCATCCTGAAGACCCCTCACTAAAAGTCCATGTTCTCCTGGATCCATGTCACATGCTCGAGCTTCTTCTGAATGACATTTCAACAGTCAAAGTTCTGGTGAGAGAAGATGGCCAGCAGATAGACAGCAGTACATGAAGGAGCTCCACAGCTTCAGGAGGAGGAGGAAGAGGTTTGCACCTTGGAAGACTGTATCATGCTTCAGCTGTTCAAATAAAACTAGATCTCCTCCAAACAACTTGCAATCAACTATTTTCTTCCATTTTAAAACCCTTTGTCCAGTTTAGATGGGAGAAGTTGATATTATGTGATATTGATCTGGGAAGACTACATTTCTAAATCATTTTTTTAACTGTGTTTTTATTCACAAGTTATTGATCTTATTTACTCTCCATGTATCTTGATTTAAGAATGGGGCTGTGTTTAAGGGCAGATTTTTGCAATGACTCTGTTCCATCCCATTTTAAGAAATGAACTGAATTAGTATTTGGTATAAAAAACATGTTGAAAGAATAAAAGGTTGTGTAAAAGTAGACTTCCTTCCCTAAGCTATTGAGTTGAGCATTAATGCACATTTTAGTCTTGTCCTTGTCCTCTTGACCTGAAATGTATACTCATAAGTAGAGACAAAGGAGTGCATTTATATAGAAATATTTATTTAATCTGAAAAACAACATTAAAAAAAGTCTGTTTTTACAGCAGAGATTAACATGTTTACAGCTTGGTACAAAACAAACAAATAGGTGTGATTAGCTCATGTCTCGATGGACACACACTGTACGGGGGAAGAATGTTTTGATGACTCATCAGTTTTGATTTGATGAAGGATAAGAGTTATTCACAATAAGGCGTGTAGCTGACCTGATTGACAGGCGGGTGCGGTGTAACGGTTTGTCAAGAGGCTTAAAACCCGCCTCAGCTCCAGCTCTCAGTCTGTGGGTGACATCACTCAGGCCATCCGGGGGAGACCTCCCTCACAGCGAGCTGTTGAAGAGAAGCAACTGCAAGTCCACCCAGAAGAACAACAAATACAGATGTTGTTGAGGCTCAGGTTTCTTCCTCTGTCTCTGCAGCTCTCTGGGCACCTCGACGGACAGTCACCAATAATCCACACTGTGTCTATAGGAGAAATACAAAGGTGTTCAATTAATGCCTCAGACAAGACAAAATGTACAGTTAACTACATGTGACAGCTCAGCTGGTTTTTTTGTTATGAGCCACATCTGCAGGAATAATATTGAACAAGGTAGCTGCAAACTCATCATAATAGATGCCAGTCTTAAACTATTTTTTTCTAATACTTAGTTTTTGGTGTGAAGCTGACACTGTCCACAGACTCATGACTTCACAGGTTCAATAGAAAACAAATGTCTTATAATAAATACAAATAATTATTTTTCACTTGTCATGTTCACCTCATCGCTGTTGACATCAGTAAATATGACAAGACATTCTCTTTTTGTCAGAACAGTAACATGAACTGTATGCTTTGTAATGTTGATTTCTTCTGGATGTCTCATTTATTTACAGTCTTATGGATAAAACTTTGTTAATGTATTTCTCTGCTAACACTGACAAGTCTAACTGCTCTGACAAATAACTAATACCATAGTTGTATATTTAAAAAAGTGTAGTTTTAAGACTTTAATTAAATATTTGGTTGAATATAATTAGTTTTAACTGTGTTGTAGAAAGTTAAATGTTAACTTACTGTTTGTAGAGTTTTCTCAGGACGAGCAGGAATCGGGGATGATAGCAGCCTAGCTGTTAGCTATGCTGTGAAGTGGACTGCTAACGTCGAGCTGAATGGGCGGAGTTAAGTCCCACCGGTCCCACCTTACTGCTGTCGTTATGTTGATCCGAAGTTAGGTTGAGACTGCAAATCCAATATGGATGCGGCCGTCGATTGGACTCATTTTCTGCCTATGTCACAGACGGGTCAGGGTTCGTCCAGTAATATTTACAGTCTATGATATATACATATAAACACATATATAAATATATAAATATAAACACATATCAACAGTGTGTCAGGATCCAGCAGGTGGACCAGAACAGGATCCTGGAGATGATTCACTCTGCAGGAGTTCAGTCTGAACCGTCTCACCCTGAGGAGAAAAGAGATTTAGTTTAAATCAAACATTTAGTAAATCTGTAAAAACAGGACAGAGTTGATCTCAGTCAGTCAGAGAACATTTAATCAAAGCTCTGCTGGCTCACCTTCGACTCTTTGGAGTCATCTGACTTCAGACTCTTCAGGGTTTGTTCTCTAAGGTTCACATCTTCCTGTACGGGAAACATTAATAAGAGAGACTTTATTAAATCATTGAACATAAACAGATTGAGAGTAAAGAGAGTTTAAAACATACCCGGTAAGAGGGTCCTGTTTCTTGTATGTTTCCTGGAATAAAACATTACAAATAAATGAAGAAACAGACCATAATATCTATAAAATAAACATGATCATGTTTCATTGTCACAGTGGAAACCTTACCTGGGCTTAGATGTCTAATCTTCCTCCGTTTGAAATAACACACTCCGAGTACAAAGACTAAAAACATCACAACAACAACAACAACAACACCGACTATCAGTCCAGTCTTGTCTGATAGTATATCTCCACACTGAGCGTCCTCTGTCTCAGTTCCTGCTCTCAGCAGCTCTCGACCCTCTGATTCACATCTGTAATGATAGAGGGACAGTTATTACAGGAACATCTGGAGAGTCCATGTGTGATGTGAAGCTTCACTCACTGTTTGTGTTTCTGACAAGATGTAAACGTCCCGTTTGAAAATGTTCCATCAGAGCAGGTGGAGCACACGGTGTCTGTGGAGGAAGTTCCTGCAGGAAATACACACAGTGACAGTTTTCAATATTAAACTAAATACATGATGAGATCTTTAAAGTAGAATCTCAGAAAGAAACACCTGAAAAAAGTCCAGATTAAAGATTAAAGTCTTATTCACAGAACAATTTCACCTGATACCAAGAAAAAGTATCTTTATAAACTTGATTAAATATCAATCTTTGATAACTTTTCATTTCATGTATGAAATATTGCAGACATATCATCCATGCAGTCTAAAATATGAACCAATCAGAGACTGAACAAACCAAAGGAAATAAGTTCACTAATATTTGTGTCTGGAAATAAGATTAATATCAAACGCTAAAGTTACAAGTTCTGCCACCAGATGGCGCATGAATTCATCCAGAGAGAGAAAGCATGTTGTGTGAAGACCAGGGCCCTTTCTGAATAGTCACAGTTCAGTATGCAGTACGTACTATTCAGTATGGAGTTTCAGTATACTGAACTTTCGTGGTCATTCAGTATGCATTTTTTGGGTCCGCGCAGTATACTGAACATTTCAGTATGGATACTAACTTCCGGGTTTTATGCAGTATGGATCGGATGCATCCTTTCAGGAAATGAATTGTGTTTTAACACCCACAATGCTGTGCGAAATTAAACGTAAATCGTCACGTCAAGTCCGCCTCCAAATCAAAACAAACGAGCGTGGATTAATTGAATCAATTTTTAATCTAGAGTTAAAGTCCCGACTGAAATCACTACTTTTAATTAACAACAGAAAATATAACAAATATCAGCATTATTATAAAACCTTTCCCCCTCTATTTAAATAATGATTTCACTATTATCTTTATTGGTTTATTTTATATGTGGGCATTACTCTTCTTGAATAAAGCTAAACAAAAAAACAAAAAAACTATGGGTGAATGCGGCCGGTTCGGGAAACGTAAATGATGTCACTTCCTTACTGAATGAATCAGAAGTAGGCACAAATATCTGCCTACTGTGTGTGCCTGCTGAATAGTAGGCACACACAGTAGGCAGATATTTGTCCCTACTTCATCTGATTCAGTACATAAAGGAAAGTACAAATGAAAGACTAATATACAGAATATAAAGTAAAATAAACCAATAAAGACACATTTAAATAGTGAAATCATTATTTAAATAGAGGGAGAAAGGTTTTATAATAATGCTGTCTGCATTATTATAAAACCTTTCCCCCTCTATTTAAATAATGATTTCACTATACTGAGGTGGACCCAAAAAATGCATACTGAATGACTGAATGAAAGTTCAGTCTACTGAAACTCCATACTGAATAGCACGTACTGCATACTGAACTGTGACAATTCAGAAAGGGCCCAGGGGTCTCATTTATAAAAGAGAGCATAGAATCCATCCTAAAAATGTACCTGCGCCAAAAACCCGGAAATGGCGTGCGCACAAAATGATTCAGATTTATAAAACCGTTCGTACGCACACCTGCACGCAATGTTCCCTTTATAAATCACGATCCACCTGGAAATGTACGCACGTAGATTAGTCCCATGTTCCGCCCTCTACACGCCCACAATCAACCATAAACGGTCAATGCAAAGCAGCTCGTGAATGAAAATGCATACAAACGAGGGGGCAGATCAGAGGTTTCCAGCGCTGGATCCCGGAAGGTTAGACAAAGAAACGAAACTTTCTGACCCAGAAACGGAGGAGGTTGTGAATGAAGTGAAGGTTAAAATGTCGGTAGTTTGCTGCAGCAGGAGGATCATGAACTGAAGAAAAATCAGAGAATGACACCACGTCGCTGCTGCATTCACCTTGTCCTATGTGCCAAAACATCCACCGTTCATCATTACGCACGAGAATATCTGCAATGTTTACATGTTTACGGGACCCACACTGATTTCTTCATATAGTGGCAGAGAGGACACATCAGTCAGCAGTCTCCCTCACTGTATGATATTATTAATCAAAGGTTTGATCAACGAACAAAAACGTTTAATTGTTGGCCACATTTTTTCTGAAACTGTCTGCTCTGTGACTAATTATGATAAAATATATGGCTTAATGATCGTTTCAGAGATGCCCCGACTTAATGTCCACACTTGAATTATTTACAGAATAAATACGTGCTGCTGATGAAGACATGCTGAGTAACGAGAAGGAGAAATGTGTGAAGCCACCGCCGTGTCTCTGTGCACTCTGTGCGTCTTGACGCAGGAATCTTTATTAAAACTAAAACCACACTTGATGATAAAGGCACGATATTGAAAGATATGAATGAAAACTGGTGGCTCTATGGTCTTTGTGTTAGTCTAATGTTTAACTCTACATCAGTGATTACATTAGTGTACAAGTCCGGTCCTCTGAGGTCCGTCCGGGATAATGAAGGCGAGACGGCGCTGATGCAATATGTATGTGGCGGACTTTTTTTTTTATTTTTATATATTTTCATAATGAAAGTTACTTATTGGAAACGGCTCACCACATGCGCGATTATAGCCTAAATAAAACCATCGGTTTGAATGATTATGATGACGTGGATCTGTCAGTAAAGTTTGATATTTAGTGAAATAAAATGTGGGAGAGATATCAATATGTATCTGCTGGCTGCAATTCACCACTTCACCGTCTGTGTCGCCAATTTCCCATGCCTCCAAAATGAACGTACGCCTGGGTCAGAGTTTGCATACCGGTGAGCACATTTTACTTCAGGTTTGTTTTTATAGATCACAAACTTTGTGTGGGAAAAGGCGTACGCCAGTTTCAGACCTCGTATTGTGCGTATGCAACGGTTATAAATGAGACCCATGCAGTGTGATTTGATCAGATCAGCTGCTCCCTTTTACTATTTTCTGTGTCAACAAAACCAGCTGCAGCTGCTCTGGTGAGAGTAGCCAGTCGGTCTTCATGCTGCAGCACCAAGCTTCTTCAGGCCCATGAAGCACTCAGGGAAGTGATCTTTGGGTCAGTAATCTCAGTGTTTTTCACATCCTTAAGGAATGTGATCATGCGTTTGTTTCACTTTCACTCTGACTCAAGTCCTCTCAGCTTCTCTTCTGAGAATAACTTGAACTTCCCTTCAGTCACCAGTTCATCTGTAGCTACAGGAACAGTTTGATGTTGGAATAACACAAACAGCTCATTGCTTCAATTCTCAGGAGGAATATTTTGTGTGTGTGTGTGTGTGTGTGTGTGTGTGTGTGTGTGTGTGTGTGTGTGTGTGTGTGTGTGTGTGTGTGTGTATGTGGAGTTACACGTATGAACCCACCTTTCTGACTTATGTATTCTCCTGGTTCACAGCGTCTGTGTTTCTTTGCTTCAACACAGTCGTACCCTGTAAACTCTGAGCAGTAAAATCCTTCCAGAGGTTCACAAACTGTGTCTGATCGTATCGTACACGACGTCTTCATCTTCAGACCAGAACTGTCAACACAAAGATAAATACAGACATACTCGACTGCTTTAAGACTAAACAGCAACATGATGAATCTGACTATTTAAAACACCTTCAAGCTGTAAACTCAAAGGAAAACATCTGAACCAATGAGAGATTCAGATTTAAGGTTTGCTCTAAAAACAAACTGAAAAAACAGGAAATACAGAGAACAACACTCCAGCTGCAGTTTCCTCATCAAGGACTCAGTAATAAAACTTCTGCCTTTAAATTAAAAAGTTAATAAAAACAACATAAACATTAATTTACTTGCTCCACATTCTCTGCAGGACAAACATTTTTTTAGTCCGTTCATTTTATTCATGAAAGTCCCCTCTGTGCACGGCTGACAGGACGTACTTTTGTCCTCCTCACAGTCTGTTTTTACTCGATTCCCTGTTGAAAAGACAAAACTTTAATGTCACACAGTCAGGAAACAGACATTGTAGGATTTTATATCTGATAATGTTTGAAGATAAAGCATTGACTACAATCCACTCGCAGTGGACGTGTTATGTGTTACGATAACAAAAACCTCAAAACATCATAACTTTCATTCTAACTTTATATTTTAAAAGCTGCCATGAAATCAGACACGTCAGGAAGCAACATCCAGAGAAACATCCAGAGAAATCCTGGAGGGACAGATTGACGATCTTACCGCTGGGACACATGGGACAGCACTCGTTTCCAAACACATATTCTGTCCAATGGCAGGTGAGGGTTTGACTTAGGAATATATTCATCATAAAAATCTGTGAAGAGAAAAAGAAACATCAGAAACATTCCTGTGGTGATGAAGCGGATCAGGAGTTTGAGGTTATCTTTAAACTGCTCTGAATGTGGGATGATGGAGGCTGCTGAAATAAGACACTTGGTGTTTACACCTCTGACACTTCACCTTCCCACTCAGAGGAATCTCTAAACCAGATTTACTAACCACAGAGGGAAAAACCAATCAGAAGATGAGATGTAGCTTTCAGTGAACAGAATAATACAGTCCTTCAGGGGAAAGATCACAAAGACAGAAGTGTTGAAGAGGAGGAGGAACAAGTGAAGATCATTTACCAGCAATGAAGCCGTGAACCGAGGATTTCTTCTGAACTTCATTTTAAACTCCAGGATCAAAGTTTCCTGGGGCTGAAGACGTCATCTCACTCAGATTTAGGGATTTAATGACGACATCACCTGAAAACAGAAAGAGAAATGCAGAAATTAAACACTGCTGTGAACATGATCACCTTTATAGCTTCTCTTGTAACTGAGATGTGCAGCTCTGTCGTCTCTCCTCACACAGAGGCTCCTCTCAGGATCACTTCAGACTTCTGAACCATAAAACTGATGTTCTTGTGAATTTCTGGCATTACCGGGTCTGAAGTTTGTACAAATAAAAATGATGATGCAGATCAGGTCTCGAGAGGAAATGAAAACCATTTTTAAATTGTTGGTTTGTTAAATCATCAATGATGCATTCAAGGAGCTCAGGAAATCTAAAAACTGATAGTCTTTGAGACACAGCATCAATCAGATTGTTCACTCCAGTAGAAATGTTTGATGTAGAACAGATTGTTCTTTGAGATATCTGACCAGACCTCCGAGCACAGAGTCTAGGTTTAATGTAGAATCAGTTCATAGAGATAAGTGCTGGAAAAACATGAAACCAGTTTGTTAGTGCCACAGGACAAGGTGCAGAACGGAAGTTAAAACCAATAAACTGAACTTTGGTAAAAGGTGGTCCAGTGTATCCTATGCTAAAGGAGGTTATGAAGGAAGCATTGACCTACCTTTCCTTAACTTTTAGAGAATTCGAACGGCTCTTATCATGGCCGCCACTTAAATGCTTCCGGGGTTAAGGTAAAGTGGCTAGTGAAAGGAGATAGGAGGAACAATTCGAACGCACCCTCTAAAAGTTAAGGAAAGGTGGGTCAATGCTTCCTTTATAACCTCCTTTAGCTTAGGATACACTGGACTATCCTTTACGAAAGGAGATGAGATATGACGCCCCACAATTCCTTGCGGCCGCAACATTTAAAGCGAGTCGCGCATCCGACCGTTCACGGAAATGAACGATTATCGTGAAGAGACACAGATCATGTCAGAGATAAAAGATAAGAGACATTTTTATCAGATGATGTTTTATTCAACATATTTCATTCATTTAAGAATGCTGTGCAGTTGTACATTTGTATAAAACATTATGTGTAGGTTATATCTTATATAAATGTAACAATTAATTTCATATTTATGTTGACGTTGATTTCTGAGTGGACAGGAAGGTGATGGTTTCACTTTTATTACTTGTAGCCTGGTAGTCTATATTTCTTTTATTTCAATCCCAACCTTGTGGTGATTAGGATTATTTCACCGGTAAGAAGGCACAGAAAAAGTTGTTTAGATGCGTTTTTTGTAGTTTATTTTCTGAACATTGTAGTTTCAACACGGCAGACTCACGTCATTAACCTCCGCCGGCCTGTCGCATTTAATGACGTCGCCTAGTGGAAAATGCGGTCGGATTATAAAGAGCAACGAGATCGCCTTTCCTTAAGTCCTTTATGAATTCTCCTAACATCTCTCCTTGATCTCATGACGTTTTCGCGGGGTTAAGGTAAAGTGGATAGTGAAAGGAGATAGGAGGGACAATTCTAACGCACCCAAACTCTCTGGCGGCATTCAAACAAAGATGGCGTACGAGGAGATGGACGACACTACAGCTACATACATTATTTACATTCTAATAATTCATATTACAAGAACAGCGGATCTTTTGGCTGCGGCGATAACAACAGAAGGAAACAACACTTCTATTTATTACGTTGTCTCCTTCCACTTCGGGTGAAATTCTCGAGCATGCGCAGAACGCAAAGGACTTATCGAGGTGTTCTTTTCCGATGATGAGATGTTCGTTATGGTCCGATGTAGGTCGGACTAAGATGTTTACATGCATTTAAAAAGTCTAAACAAACAAATATCTAGCACCATGTAACCCTACTGAGTGACTTCACTCTCTGCTAGTTTCAATTAACACCAATTAACTCCACAAGCTCCTCCCCTTTTCAGATCCAATGAACTTAAAGCTGTTTCAATTAATCTCCTACATCCAAATTATACATTTTAATGTAAATATTGAAACACTTATTAAATTACTTTAAATAATGAAGAAACCTCTTATATTTAAATCATTTAAACATGAAGACTGTCCACATACAAACCCAAAATATTACAAAGTGAACCACAATTAGAACATGAAAAGCAATAAGGCTCCTACAGTATTAAATCAGAGTTGAGCTCTTACCCTGCAGAAGATTCAGACTCCTTCAGAGCTGAACCTCCTGTTTCTGTCCAAACACTCTCAGTTTAAACAGTGGGAGGATTCATGTGACTTATTTCCATGAATCAGCATGAGGATGTCTTGCATGTGTTGTAGTTCCTCTTATATCTTTATCTTGTATTGGACTTTAATGTCTTTTAGTCCAGCAGAAATCCTCTTCACTGATTTTAAACCGAAACACTTCTCTCTTTTATCTTTAATGAAGCCAACAAAGGTCATGGTTACATTTTAATCATCATTTATCCCTGAGAGGTCACCACAATGATCACAATACTAACTCTTCTGTCAGTGAGCATGAATCTGTGGTTTCAAGACAAACATTTCTCTAAAATAAATAAAAAAATTCTCAATCCTCTGAAATAATTTGAACCCCTGCAGCTGATTCAGTTCAGTGTTTGTCACTAGCGTCGAGTCTGTTCCAGCTTTGTCTGAATATTTCTATTTAACGTCGACTGATTCATGACCGCTGATGAGTCAGACACAGAGAAGGAAGCACAGAGAGTGTAGCAGCCATTTCGTGCACTGGTCTCAACGTTCAGACTGTTTCAGCAGACAAACTTTTTCTCGGTAAAACACCGGAACATACATGAAACATGTCGCACTTACACCGGAAGACTTTAACATACTAACAACAGACTGTAACAGAGTTTTAACCTGCTCTGTGTGACTCATTTTAAAGAAATGTGAAGAAAAAAACTGCTACGTACCTCGTTACATGGAGACAAGAGACTGTACATAAAGAGGCGGAGCGTCAGGATATAAATGAGACTGTAAAATGGAAGAAGATGGCAGGTCGGAAAACCAGAAACCAACCTGTGACTGAAAGCTTTCAGTTGCTTTTTCTCCTCATCGAGACAGAAACATGTCTGCAGAAGTTTCTCTTTATTATTCTTCACTTTGCTTTATTGTCTCATGACATGCAGCTCGTGTGTTTCTCTTCAGCTTTATATTTGATTCTGTCATGTTGGGTTCACTTTGAATCTTATTATTCTGATGTTGCTCTTTATCTGTTCTCTCTTTATTCTTCTGTCTGCTTCTGAAGCTCTGTGAATATCATTTAAAACATTTGAGCAGGTTTCATGATCAGCTCCTAAACGAGACTTCAGGACCATAAAGAAGACCAGCATGAGGTTCAAACATGTAGTCTATAAACTGTTCTGTGCTCGTCGTGTGTCTTCATGGTGCAGCTTCAGAAAGATGACGAGGTGACTGTGAGAATAAAAAGAAAGTCTGTTTCTGTTTGAGGAGCCTTGATCTCTAATTTATTAATTATTGATATTTTCTTTACTGATGGAGAAATCCTGAAAGTGTCGAGTTTGGTTTGTAAGAAAAAGACAGAATAAAACTTAAAGATGTAAACTATCTAATTACATTTAACCTGATATATAATTAGAACCATAATGACACAAAAAACATTTTTCTTAAAGTGAAATAAAAGTGAAGCTTCACTAAAACAGGATAACAAACTGAAACTGATGTGTTTATAAAAATCAATCAAATCAGATAAATGTTCATCTTCTCTGACTCAAACACAGCCAGTGACTCTCTTAAAGTTCTCTCTCAGAGTTCTTCCTCCAGGTGATATATTCAGTATGAAACGCAGAGCTTTACTTCAGCAACAGAACTGAGCCTTTGACCTTTGACCTCAGAGTTCTTACTGTCCTTTAACATCTCTCACAAATAGCTTCAAGAATACTCGACTTCGGGGAGCGCTGGTGGCGCAATGGTTAGGACGCGCTCTCATCTCAAGCGGTAGGCCCGGGTTCGCTTCCACCCGTGGCCCCTTTCCGCATGTCATTCCCCGCTCTCTCTCCCTGGTTTCCGACTCTATCCACTGTCCTCTCTCTGCATTAAAGGCACAAAAAGCCCAAAATAAATCTTTAAAAAAAAAAAAAAGAATACTCGACTTTAAACATGAAAGTTACTGACAGAGACTCACACCCGTCCTGACCTTCATACTGGGGTACATACCTGTGATTTAAGGACATTAACACACTTGTATGTAGACACCAAGAGGCAGAGAGGTATGAGCGCTTTGCGCCCTCTAGTGACCTGTGTGAGTATTGACACCTCTGCTGCTGTTCTCCATCATGAACAGGAAGCTGCACTCTGATCAACATTCAGACTTCAGATTCTTGTTCTCTGTGTGGCTCGTTTTAAATCATGACAAACACTAACCAGAGAGGGAAGATTTCATCTGTACAAAACATGAATGTCCATATTTACATACAATATATTTAAATGATCTTTGAGTTTCCAGGCTTAACCCTTTGAACTCTTGAATAATTGACCTTTAACGTTTTTCATCTGTCTTTACTAAACGACATTAGAAGAACTCAAAGTGAAAATATTTACAGGAACAGTTTCTGACATCTGAAACACAAGTTTGCCTTTAAAAAACTTCTTGATTTTTTTTTTTAAATATAAAATGAAATATTTAAATTCAGTGATGTAGCTTTTCTGCATGTCTTATATTCACCAGATATCTGGAAGAAAAGAGAAACACACCGACTGTTCTCACATTTAATCACGTCTTTCAATTTACTGCAGGATTTACAAAGTGAGCACGTTTTACCTTTTCATTCAGTGTCTACAAAAACTCTGAAACTACAGTACCACATCCTGACCAGCAGGTGGCAGACAGCTCAACTTCAGTGTTATATTCATATATTTCTGTTGTTTTGAGAAATGAAATCCTGAACAGTAAATGGAGAGATGCTCAACATCAGATTCTGAAGAAATCTGAAATCTTAAAAGAAAACTTTAAGTTTTAGAAATACTTTTACCCACATATTATATTTATGTTTTACCATATGTTTAATTAATTGTTCAGCTGGTTGTAGTTTTATACTTTTTGAACAAAGATCAGTTTTTTTAAACTTATGACATGAACTAAGCTGAAACACTCGGTGACGTGTTCGTTCTTATCGAGCAGCAAAGGAGATAAAAACTTTAAAACAGATACAAAAAAACAAACAGTTTTTTATAAACAGCATTAATAAAACTCAATGTCTGCCAGTCTTCCTCGTTTTCTGTACAGTTAGCTTAAGATTGGGTTCTAACTTGTCCTAATGCAGAACTTTGTTAGCTTGGACTGAGGTTTTTTCTGAACTCTGCAGCGATAATGTCCAAGAATCCAGCAGAATAATAATACCTGGATCCTGGAGAACATTTAGTCTGCAGGGGGTCAGTGAAATGGCTGTTCTGAAACACCCTGAGGGGAGAAAAGATTTACTTTAAAACTTGAACTTTTGTAACTTATGACTTATGTGAATGATTTAGTGATCATTGAGCTGAAAATCTCTGCAGTCTCACCTGATCTTCTTTTTCTCTAAACATCAACCGTTCCGTTGTGTGGCCTTCTGGATTCAATGGTTTCCTTAAAAGTAAAAATTCAAAGTGAGCGACATTTAATGATCTAACTGTGAAGCTGATTGAGAGTAAAGAGATGTAAAACATACCGGAGGTAGTTTCTCTGGTGCATTTATTCCTGTAAAAAAACATGAGCGATGAAAAAACAAATCATTGATGGTATCTATAATGAAACATGATCATGTTTTTATTGTCACATTATAAATTCTTACTTCTGTTTAGAAAACGTTTTATCTTCTCTCTGTAACACCACGCTGTTAATACAAGCACGAGAACTAAAAGAACCACAACAACACCGACGTCCAGTCCTATGTGGCAGTAGTCCTCCACACTGAGCGTCTTCTGTCTCAGTTCCTGCTCTCAGCAGGCTGAAATATACTCACACATGCACACAAACAGGATCCTATGGACATGCACTAATGGAGAGATGTCAGAGTGACGGAGCTGCCCACAGTGGGCGCTCCTGAGCAGGTGGTGGGGAGGGGGTTTGGTGCCTTGCTCAAGGGCACCTCAGCAGTGTTCAAGAAGTGATCTGGCACCTCTCCAGCTACCAGACCAACTTCCATATTTGGTCTTTCAATTCAAGTAAAAGATAAAATTTTACTTACGTACAAGTAAAAGTACCAGTTTAAAAATGTACTCAAAGTAAAAGTAAAAAGTAACTTGTTTAAAATGCACTTTAAGTCAAAGTTACTTAGTTACTTTTTTTTAACAACGCATGTCTTGTGTGTCATGAAAAAAGGACGAGAAGATATTAATCTCAAAGTTTTTTTAATTAAAGGCCAATCTTTACAAAGATTTATCTTTTCAGATAAACATTTTCTTTTCTACCCCATTGACAAAAACAAAATATACATAATGATGAATAAATAATCAAGGATTATATGTTCAAGTAATCAGCTGTTTTATGAAGGGAAATGTTTAAAGGCTTTATATATGCGATTTTTTGATCCGGCAGATGTCGTCCTTGAGCACCAGCATGAAACCAAAACAACTCGTGCTGCATTGTTGTGTTAGCATGCTAATGCTAGTGATCTTTTTTATGCTCGTACCTTCACACTGCATGTAAATTTACCTGAAATGAGTGTGATCTAGAAACGCAGTTAATCAGTGAGTACAGAATGTTATTCTTCTTTTCTCTAGTCCCTCAATTAAACAACTTTTATACACGAGGGGAGGAGTCAGCCGGCCGTCCAGGCGATGTAAACAAACTGAAGATAGGACTCTGAAAACTCTGAAAGCATCACAGACAGTGGGACTCGGGTGTTACACCCATTGTAGACAGTCATGACTCACAGAGTTATTTTCAGAGGATATACTTGATTTATATTTAAGTGCGAAAAAATCGCATACTAAGCCTTTAAACTATTTTACACAGTGTAAAGAGTATTTTAGTGTTTTTAGTTTTATTATTCTGATGCTGATTATAGTCTCAAAGACAGCCTCAAAGGCTGACTTAGCTGCAACTAAACCTCAGATGAAAGATAATCCATTTATTGTTTTAAAATGAGCCTTTATGAGTTTAAATATTAGATGTTTTAGTCACTGTTTGTTTACCTCTTAGCTACTGAAGCTTCTAACTCGGCAGTAGGTCTGTAGGGACTGAGCTACTCAAGTCCCGGCACGAACCAAGTCCAGAAATTGGCCAGGTAGGTGGAGAGGGGCCAGTCCACTTCCTGAGCACTGCCGAGGTGCCCTTGAGCAAGGCACCTAACCCCCCCCCCCCCACCAGCTCAGGAGCGCCCACTGTGGGCAGCCCCCTCACTCTGAAACCTCTCCATTAGTCCATAGGATCCTATGTGTGTGTATTTCGGCCTATGTTTGTGTAGCATGTTAACTAGACAGAGTGTAAAAAACGAATTTCCCCTCGCGGGATCAATAAAGTATACATTATAACTGAATCTGGTTTGAAGTATTTATTTTCACACGTCTGATGTGTCAAGTTGCAGCAGCTTATAACACCCAACTTCCGCATACTTCAAAATAAAAGCACATCACAGAGACGGCAATTAGGGACTTTTATTGTGAAAAACCTTCCGGAACTAAATGTGTTTATCGCTCGGAGCTGCAGCGGCGATTGTAGTCGCGAACGCTGCAGTGAGAAAAAGCATCCTCAGCCAACTTATTTTAATCATCTTGGACACAAGACAATAAGACATCAGTTTACAAACACCTTCAGCAGGTAGACCCGCTGTAGTAGAGGAGCTTATCCGTGCTGCAGTAGATGAAGTGACACCGAGCCAAGAAAAGGCTCTCTCTCTCTCTCTCTCTCTCTCTCCCTCTCCCTCTCTCTCTCTCTCTCTCTCTCCCTCTCCCTCTCTCTCCCTCTGTCTCTCTCTCTCTCTCTCAATTCAATTCAAATGAGCTTTATTGGCATGACAAATCAACAATCTATGTTGCCAAAGCAGTACAGAAAACATTTTGAACAACAAATTATTACAATACATACAGTAAACAAATACAACAAATATGAATAAAAGACATTAACAATAACATGAATTATTTTTACAGTGTATTTCTATGAAACATTAAGTGTATTTTGTCTCAGTTTGTGTAATCATGAACATATTTAGCAGCTCGTACTGCACACAGACTTTTCTCTCCACAGAGATAGAGCAGCTTCTGAGGATCAGGGAGATGGAGAAAGTCAGGATATTTATTATAAATGTAATCAAAGAGAGTCTCTCTTAAATCTTTATACATGTCACAGTGTAGGAGGAAGTGAGATTCTGATGACACAGTGAACACAGCCTGGCCTCTCTGGGTAACCAGTTCTGTCTGTGACGGCCTGTTTCTATGGTCAGACTGTGTCCACTCAGTCTGACCACTCTCTCTCTCTCTGTCTCTCTGGTGCGATGAGGGAAAATCATTCATAGCAGGCCTATTTTTTTACTCAGTAACGGTTACAGCTTATTACAATACTTAACAGAAAACTTACTTAAGTAAAAGTAAAAGTACAGATTTTAAAAACGACTTAAAAAGTAGTAAGTACAGCAAAAAACGACTCAATTACAGTAACGCGAGTAAATGTAATTTGTTACTTTACACCTCTGCTGGTACGCAATTGTCCACAAACACTCAGAATTTGCATCTCTCCATTCACTGTATAACCCATTTCAGGGGCCTTCTAAGAAGGATATGTATTTGCCCTACTTCCTATAATACAGATCTAATTTACCAAGTCATTTATCAGACATTTTTTCAAATGCTGCTACTTTTGCCATTTCTACAACCCATTCTTGCGTTGATGGCACTCCCACAGTCTTCCATCTCCTGAGAAGAATCTGCCTGCCTATTATAATGCTAGTTTGGACCCAACTTTTAATGTGTTTATCCCCTCCCAACAGAACTGATCGGTCACCTAGAATAAATAATCTGGGGGTAAATGGAATTTGGGTCTCTGCAATGTCACATATAGTATTATATAAACTTTAAACTTTAACCTCGAGGATCAGACCCAAACCTCTACAGCTGAAACCTGATCTGGTTTCCTTCAAACTCCCCATGGACAACTCGTTTAACCTGCTGACATTGGAAAAACCCGTCATGGATGAAATGATGAATGAAATGAAAACAAAACAAACGTGCTTTGTGAAACTTCGCTCTGAGCTGATGAGCAGGTCTTCAAGGTCTGCTTATCAGAGATTTCAGTATTCCTGAACGTGGCTCCGCTTTAGCACAATCTGTTTTTTCTTTTAAAGCTGTTAAAGAATGGAATAGTCTTCCAACTAGTCTTAAACTTTGGGTGATCTCAGTCTGTGGGGCCCTCAGGTGATCTCAGTCTGTGGGGCCCTCAGGTAATCTTTTTGTGGTGGACAGTTCTTTGATGCAGGGAGGGGCACTGAATGGATTACTTGGGGAGTAATGAGATTTTATATTTGATCCTGAGTGAGACGGGAGCCTGCAGTGAAGTGAGTGCAGGATGGGTGTGATCTGCTCGTGTTTACACACTGACATCAGGATCCTGCAGTGCTGGGAGGAGGGGGGGAAGTATTTCTAAAACTTAAAGTTTATTTTAAGATTTCAGATTTCCTCAGAATCTGATGTTGAGCATCTTCACTCCATTTACTGTTCAGGATTTCATTTTTCAAAACAACAGAAATATATGAATATAACACTGAAGTTGAGCTGTCTGCCACCTGCTGGTCAGGATGGGGTACTGTAGTTTCAGATTTTTTGTAGACACTGAATGAAAAGGTAAAACGTGCTCACTTTGTAAATCCTGCAGTAAATTGAAAGACGTGATTAAATGTGAGAACAGTCGGTGTGTTTCTCTTTTCTTCCAGATATCTGGTGAATATAAGACATGCAGAAAAACTACATCACTGAATTTAAATATTTAATTTGATATTTTAAAAAAAAATCAAGAAGTTTTTTAAAGGCAAACTTGTGTTTCAGATGTCAGAAACTGTTCCTGTAAATATTTTCACTTTGAGTTCTTCTAATGTCGTTTAGTAAAGACAGATGAAAAACGTTAAAGGTCAATTATTCAAGAGTTCAAAGGGTTAAGCCTGGAAACTCAAAGATCATTTAAATATATTGTATGTAAATATGGACATTCATGTTTTGTACAGATGAAATCTTCCCTCTCTGGTTAGTGTTTGTCATGATTTAAAACGAGCCACACAGAGAACAAGAATCTGAAGTCTGAATGTTGATCAGAGTGCAGCTTCCGGTTCATGATGGAGAACAGCAGCAGAGGTGTCAATACTCACACAGGTCACTAGAGGGCGCAAAGCGCTCATACCTCTCTGCCTCTTGGTGTCTACATACAGGTGTGTTAATGTCCTTAAATCACAGGTATGTACCCCAGTATGAAGGTCAGGACGGGTGTGAGTCTCTGTCAGTAACTTTAATGTTTAAAGTTACTGACAGCAACTAAATTCTTTTTTTTTTTTTAAAGATTTATTTTGGGCTTTTCGTGCCTTTAATGCAGAGAGAGGACAGTGGATAGAGTCGGAAACCAGGGAGAGAGAGCGGGGAATGACATGCGGAAAGGGGCCACGGGTGGAAACGAACCCAGGCCTACCGCTTGAGATGAGAGCGCGTCCTAACCATTGCGCCACCAGCGCTCCCCGAAGTCGAGTATTCTTGAAGCTATTTGTGAGAGATGTTAAAGGACAGTAAGAACTCTGAGGTCAAAGGTCAAAGGCTCAGTTCTGTTGCTGAAGTAAAGCTCTGCGTTTCATACTGAATATATCACCTGGAGGAAGAACTCTGAGAGAGAACTTTAAGAGAGTCACTGGCTGTGTTTGAGTCAGAGAAGATGAACATTTATCTGATTTGATTGATTTTTATAAACACATCAGTTTCAGTTTGTTATCCTGTTTTAGTGAAGCTTCACTTTTATTTCACTTTAAGAAAAATGTTTTTTGTGTCATTATGGTTCTAATTATATATCAGGTTAAATGTAATTAGATAGTTTACATCTTTTAGTTTTATTCTGTCTTTTTCTTACAAACCAAACTCGACACTTTCAGGATTTCTCCATCAGTAAAGAAAATATCAATAATTAATAAATTAGAGATCAAGGCTCCTCAAACAGAAACAGACTTTCTTTTTATTCTCACAGTCACCTCGTCATCTTTCTGAAGCTGCACCATGAAGACACACGACGAGCACAGAACAGTTTATAGACTACATGTGAATCATGCTCTGACAGGAAGCGATGGTTTTGTTCACCCAAGGTCCTTGTGATACCTCAGTGAGTTTGTGGTTCAAACTTGTTTTCTAACACCTAGAAGAAGAAGAAGTTTGAACCTCATGCTGGTCACCTCTGAGTCCAATATGTTACAAGATATAAGATATAAGAGGAACTACAACACATGACCTATTCTTTAAAGACATCCTCATGCTGATTCATGGAAATAAGGTCCCACATGAATCCTCCCACTGTTTAAACTGAGAGTGTTTGGACAGAAACAGGAAGTTCAGCTCTGAAGGAGTCTGAATCTTCTGCAGGGTAAGAGCTCAACTCTGATTTAATACTGTAGGAGCCTTATTGCTTTTCATGTTCTAATTGTGGTTCACTTTGTAATATTTTGGGTTTGTGGACAGTCTTTATGTTTAAATGATTTAAATATAAAAGTTTTTTCATTATTTAAAGTAATTTAATAAGTGTTTCAATATTTACATTAAAATTTATAATTTGGATGTTGGAAATTAATTGAAACAGCTTTAAGTTCATTGGATCTGAAAAGGGGAGGAGCTTGTGGAGTTAATTGGGACTAGCAGAGAGAGAAGTCACTCTTTTGACCTCTCCTCACCTCTCTCTCTTTTTCTCTTTCGTTTTTGATCTGTTTTTTCTTTATTTTATCAAAGTAAACACTTCAACTTTGATCGTGTGGGCGCCAAAATGCACCAGACTGTGTTCCTACATATTGTTGCTTAATGTTCATCATTGTTTCGGTCTCAGATCAACATTTTCATTTTTGGTCTGATAACATGATAACTGTTTGTACAGTCTTGGATTTTGTCCCCTGCTTTGACAAAACCATCAATTGAAATTGTCCATATTCGTATCAATATTTAATTCTATTGGGAGGTGATGTTACACCCTGATTGGTGGAAAGGGAAATGAAGTGATTTAAAGTTCAAAGTTTCTTGCTGTTAAATAACTCTCTGCATGATTACTTTTGTCCTTCTTGTTTCCAGGAGAAGTCATTGTTTTGATCCTTCTTCAATCCTTCTCATCGAGATGACGTCTTCAGCTGATCATCCTGATGTTTGGATGTTCAGTAAATACCCTTGGTTTACACTATCATTGCTGGTAAAATTATTTATTACAGCATGCTCCAATTTATTTTGAAGCTTTATGCTGTAGCACTATTTATTTATTTATTTAAATTCTTCTATCAACATTTGGTGGAGTGACATCAACTTTGCTATCCCAGTCTATGAATTCACATTGCAAATCATTGGAGCAAGGCAAGAGAGCACATCTCACACACACACACACACACACACACACACACACACACACACACACAGCTCTGTTCTTCCTACAGCTGACTGAATGTGGCTTGTTTTACCAGAGGTGTATTGACAATTTCCTGTGCACACTCGTACAACTTACAAGGATGCACTTAGTAGTCCACAAGGGCTAATACCTTTCAAAATCCCAGAAGATTTCCTTTGGAGAAATGTGCTGCAGATTCAGAAACTTCTGTTAAAGTCCAAAAACAAAAGCAACAATGAAAAAGGGGTTCAAAAGAAAAGAAACATGCTACAAAAAGCCAAAACAATTTGCCTAACAGCAAACAAGCTGTAAATACACGGAATGTATGGAAATACATAAATCTGATTCATGCTTCTTGCAGTCCCATGGCTTCCCGCCGAGCGTGTTGCAATGATTGGCTCGTGGCTACAGGGCCTAGAAGTACATTATGCCGTTAAATTTTTGGGCGCTCTGTTCTTCGGGCACTCTGACTGCAATCAGTATCAAACAACTCGACGTTCTCAGGGACTGTGCGCGCCGTCCGCACCGTGCCGACTGCGCTGACAGCAAAAAGCATGATTCAGGTTTTATGGTGAGCAGGCTGGTCACCAAACATCTGGAGAATCCTAAGGCCTACCCCAGACTATTGTCTGTTGATTTTAGTTCAGCATTTAACACCTTGCAGCCTCACAAACTACTCAGCACGTTAAATCATCTTAGGGTCAATCCATTCATCATTAAATGGTATCATTCATTTCTCACTAACCGCACCCAGCAAGTCAGAGCTCACAACCATCAGCACTGAATGAGGATTTTAGATTTCTCTCTGTATTCATGTACACTTTGTCTTCAGTGAGAACATTTCTCTTTCTCTTCACAGATTCTCCTGATGAACGTCTCTACAGGTCAAACTCTGACATGTGGTCCATATCAGTATGAGATAAATGATCGATGCTGTCCTATGTGTCCAGCTGGTAAGCGCCACACAAATGTTAAAGAACATTTAATTGAGTTCAGTCAGGAATACTCTGGTCATAGATTTAACCATTTATTGCCCTAATGGTTTGCACAGTTGTATTTGGCGGTATTACTTCGACTCTTAGCTCTCAGCAGTATCAGTGCAGCATGCCACAGATCTTCCTGAGAGCTCAATGAAGCTAAATGTGTGGCTAATCTTCAAACTTATTCAGAAGAGGCTTCATGCATCAATAACTAATTTTCTAGGACAAAATGTGGCATGTTTCCTTCATCTCTTCACCCTAATCACAAACATTTGGTTAACTTTTTAACAACAGAAAGAGAAGTATGTTCAAGATCACAATTTAAATGACTTAAAAGTATATATGCAAACTGCAGTCTTACTTGCAGTGTTTTGGCCCTGACACGTTCAGTTTAGACTGTGTGCATTACTTTCCTATGCACAGTCTTTCTTATGAAATAGATACAAAGGTGCTAAAAGTTACACTACACAATATGCGACATTAGTATGTTAAGAAAAATACTAGCAGCCTTTGTGAAAAAAATACCTGATGGTTGGTTTTAACATAAGTCCCGCCTCTGATAGGGCAGACAGCCAATCACAGTTTAGGATTTTTGGGATGGTATCTGGGATGGACTCCTCCAAGAATCGCCACCTTAATGTGGTGGAGGAGTTTAGACGGGCTAATCTAGACTATTAATTGACGCGCTTGCCGGCTTCACTCCTGAGCGTAAGAATTCGAAATAAGACAGTCTAATATCTTCTTCGTTTAGGAATATTCATTTCTCATTCCATCGTTGTCTTGATCACTGTCACATGTGAGCTGTTCAAACAATAATCCAGACATGTCCATTTACAATCACTCCTGTTACCTCATAGCGTGGCATACAGCGGTCAAAAAAGTCTAGCAATACCTGACACCCCAGTGATAGTTCCTACCTATATAGAGTTTCACCTTAACCTAAAGGCGACACCTGCTGGAACAATTTGTGTTTGCACCTCACAAACATGGCTCCTACATACCTGCCCCTAATTGTAACGGCATGCAGACATTACAATTCAAACAATAACAAATCAAGGAGCCACCCAATAACACAGAGAGGAGTACATTTTATCACACCAAACACCTGCTCCATACAGTACATTGGTTACTTAAATAACCTGCTAATCTGCAGCCTCCTGTAGCATGCAAAGTTTAGTCACAGGTCTCTCAATGACGTTAGACCTTGTCTGCAAACGTACTGAACGTACAAGTCCCTTTTTTGTCACTGAAGACCTCCAAGACTCTTCCAAGAGGCCAGTAGCCTCATGGGGCAGAAGGATCCATAATGACCACAATATCTCCAGGCTTTAGATTTTTTTTTTTCCTGTTCCATTTCTGTCTCTCCTGCAAAAGTAGATATTCCCGAATCCATCGCTTCCAGAAAAGATCAGAAATGTACTGAACTTGCCTCCATCTTCGTTTTACATACAGGTCGTGTGGCTCAAACAATCCAGGTGGCAAGGATGGCCTTCCTTTCAAAAGGAGAATGTGGTTTGGAGTTAGTGGCTCGAGATCGTTTGGATGATCAGACAGTTTGGTGATTGGCCTATCATTTAAAATAGCTTCAGCTTCACACATGACTGTAAGAAGTCCATCATCATCCAGTCTTTGTTGTTGGATAACTGAACTGAGGATCTTTCTCACCATGCGAATTACCTGCTCCCACACACCACCATGGTGTGAACCTGCTGGAGGGTTGAAGCACCATTTGACACCTTTTTGTTGCAAAACTCCTTGTCCTTGAATCTATGAGTGATTTAGAGATGCCAGAGCTTCCTTTAGCTCCCTCTTTGCTCCTACAATGTTGGTGGCATTGTCCGAACGTATTTGAATGACTTGACCTCTCCTTCAGATGAAACGGCGCAAAGCATTAATGCATGCATCTGTGTCCAGAGAGTTAGCTACTTCCAGGTGAACTGCTCTGCTTGCCAGGCATGTGAATATCACTCCATAGCGCTTGACTGTGCTCTGTCCCTTTCTTCAGTCAAGTGGACCGAAGTAATCGACTCCAACATTAGTAAACGATGGGTTATCGGGGAGAATTCTTTCCTTGGGCAAATCTTTTGCTCCACCATTACCATCATATCTCTTACAGAAGCAACACTCTGTTATGACCCTCCTCACAGCTGAGTTGGCGTTTGTAACCCAGTACTTCCTCCTTAGGGTGGACAATGTATGGTTGTGACCACTATGACCAAGCTGTCTGTGAATGTGCTTGATAATGAGAGTGGCTACATGCTGATCCTTTGCAAGGATGAGTGGGTGTTTAGTTTCCTCTGGTAAAGAGCCTTTAGTCAGACGCCCGCCAACTCTCAGGAGACCGTTAACCAAATATGGATCCAACCTGTAGATACTGCTGTGCCTGCTCACTGTATCCTTTCCACAAGACAACGCAGCAATCTCCTCTCCAAAATCTTTGCTGTTGATAGTAACGAACAATGGTCTGTTCAGCCTCCAAAAGATCTTCTGTTAACAGAGCTAATCCCTTTGACCTTTCTCCATCTCCTTGCCTTTTGTTCTGAATTACGCTCTGTTCAATGGCATCAGAAGCCTCCAACTCATGCCTCCTACGACTCCTTTCCAAAAAAGCCCTTTTCAGTTTAAGGAACCAAGCTACTGCTACTTTTAGTCTTTTAGTCTCCTCCAATCTGAAAAGTAGGTCATCAGGCGACCAGTGGCATCAGGTGAGCCCTCGACATGAACCACGTTCACCAAAGCTTCTTTCTTTACCTCCAGGTCATTTGCTTCTATTACAGTATCAACTGTGTTTATCGGCCCGTCCTCTTCTGGTGTCATGGCTGACACGCCTTTTCAATGTCTTGTGGAAATCTGGGACAGTGCCTGTGGAGTGGCAGACCGGTGTGGTGGTTCCCAAACATTTAAGGGTATTTACTATTTACTTCCATCTCCCCAGCAAAGTTTTCCAGCTCCTCCTGGGGGATTCCGAGGCGTTCCCAGGCTAGAGGGGATATTTAATCCCTCCGGCGCATTCTGGGTCTGCCCCGGGTTCTCCTCCCAATCAATTATTGTATACTACAATTTGGCCCTTTGGCAGGGAGAATTAATTGAATGTGGCCCTTGCCGTGACCAAAGTTGCCCATCCCTGCTCTAGGGTGCTGGAAAGGAGTTTCCGGCCGGTTGTCACCGGTCCTGTTTGTTATCTTCATGGACAGGATCTCAAGGAGCAGCCGAGGGGAGGAGGGTTTCCAGTTTGGGGACCTCAAAACCACGTCTCTGCTTTTTGCAGATGACGTGGTTTTGTTGGCTTCCTCATGCTGGGACCTCCCAGCAGGCACTGAGGCGGTTTGCAGCCGAGTGAGAAGCGGCTGGGATGAGGGTTAGCACCTTCAAGTCCGAGGCCATGGTTCTCTGCTGTCCGGGTGGGGAGTGAGTCCTTGCCCCAAGTGGAGGAGTTAAAGTATCTCTGGGTCTTGTTCCCAAGTGAGGTTAGGATGGAACGTGAGATTAACAGACGGATTGGCTCGGTGTCAGCAGTAACGCAGGCGTTGTGCCGGACCGTTGTGGCAAAGAGGGAGCTGAGCCTGAAGGCAAAGTTCTCGATTTACCGGTCGATCTACGTTCCAAACCTCACCTGTGGTCATGAGCTATGGGTAGTGACCGAAAGAATAAGATTGTTGATACAAGCTGAAATGAGCTTCCTCTGAAGGGTGGCTGGGCTCAGCCTCAGAGATAGGGTGAGGAGCTCGGAGTAGAGCCGCTGCTCCTCCGCATCGAAAGGAGCCAGTTGAGGTGGTTTGGGCATCTGTTAAGGATACTTCCTGGACGCCTCCCTTTAGAGGTTTTCCAGGCACGGCCAATTGGGAGGAGACCCCGGGGCAGAACCAGAATGCGCTGGAGAGATTTAATATCCCCTCTAGCCTGGGAACACCTCGGAATCCCCCAAGAGGAGCTGGAAAACTTTGCTGGGGAGAGGGAAGTCTGGGCTGACTTACTGCGCCTGCTACCATGGCGACCCGACCTCGGATAAGTGGAGGAAAATGGATGGATGTCAGGGATGACCAATCAGATTTATAGATTTTATCCAAACATCAAGCATTAAACTTTGATTACCCTAAAATGTTTGTGTAGCTTCTCAGTCATCCAGGTCATAGTAAATACCCTTAAACGTTTAGGTGCTGAGCTGCATGTGTGAACACAAACAGCTGAATGTTTCTCTCTGACTTCACCCGGAGTTTCAAACTCACATTTTTTACTTTCATTTCAGTGCATATCTCACTTAAGGCCTATTTCACAATATGCAATTTTAAGTCATTCCAAATAAGAACTTGTTTTTGGAAGGCATCTCAGGACCCCGCAGGGGGTCCCAACCCTAACTTTGGGAACCATTGGTATAGAGGACTCTGACGCTTCTTACACCACTTACACATTGCTTTCTTTACGTCACGCCTTGCCTCAGGCGCCCCCCCCTCCTGTCTGACAGAGATAGTCTCCGTTATACTGAATTATTACATTGTGGTTTTCTAATGGTTGATGTTTTAAGTTTAGAATATTTCTGTAGAGAACATTTACAAGTCTTTCATTGGACCTGTACGACTTCTTCTACTACCTGCTCGACTTAAACTTACAAAAATTTAGCCTCCATACAAATTTAACAGATGATGAATCGATAACAAGATGTGTTTAAATATGTTTTTGAATACATGCTCAAGAATAAAAAATTACTTCTTGATTTTGTTTCAAACAGGAGGTTGGGTTTATGAAGACTGCACAGAGTCCAGAACTACTCTCTGTGAGCCCTGCCCTGAAGGAACCTTTATGAACCATCCGACTTACCGTACACGGTGCTACGACTGTAAAAGCTGTGATGAAGGTAGATCTCTGAAATTATTATAAAACTAAATAAAGATCAGAACATGTTACTAAACAGTCATCACTGTAAAACCAGCTTTCTAACCTTCAGTTAGTTTGAGTTTGAGCCTCAAACACAGAGATGATCATCTGAGTACTTGTTATTTCCTTACACCAAACTGTTCTTTAGTAGAGCAGAAGTACAGTAGTTCATAAATAACCTCTGTGTTTGTGTCGACAGGTTCTGGTCTGAAGATGAAGACGTCGTGTACGATAGTATCAGACACAGTTTGTGAACCTCTGGAAGGATTTTACTGCTCAGACTCGAGAAAGGACGACTGTGTGGAAGCAAGGAGACACAGACGCTGTGAACCAGGAGAATACATCAGAAAACACGGTGAGTTAAACACATTTCACTTCATCACACACAGACAGTTTGAGTTCAATGTGAACTTACAGACTGGGACGCCATTCTTACCCCGTCATGGAATCAATATGAACGTACAAAGACGTGATGAAGGCAGAGCTTAGTTAGGGAGCTTCTTGACTCCAGTCTTTATGCTAAGATATGCTAACCTGGTTCTTACTGCAGCTCTGTTCTCTGGAAAACAGCTGATAAACACAACCTCCTCCTGTTAGCTGACATCTGAAGAACACTTCATTAACACGTATGGTGGACGGTGATAGAGGGACTGTGTTCATGTCTAAAAAAACCTCTGTGAAATAGTCTCATGTGTTCTGTATTTCCTGCAGGAACTTCCTCCACTGACACCGTGTGCTCCACCTGCTCTGATGGAACATTTTCAGATGGGACGTTTCCATCTTGTCAGAATCACAAACAGTGAGTGAAGCTTCACATCACACATGGACTCTCCAGATGTTCCTGTAATAACTGTCCCTCTATCATTACAGATGTGAATCAGAGGGTCTAGAGCTGCTGAGAGCAGGAACTGAGAGGACGCTCAGTGTGGAGGAAAAGGGTCACACAGGACTGCACAGATTATCTGTGGTGTTGGTGTTGGGATTCTTGGGATTCTTTTAGTCTTTGTACTCGGAGTGTTTTATCTCAGATGGAGGATGATTAGACATCAAAACTCAGGTAAGGCTTTCACTGTGACAATGAAACATGATCATGTTTATTTTATAGATATTATGGTCTGTCTCATCAATTATTTGATTTTTATTTCTAATGTTTTATTCCAAGAAACAGAAGACATTCAGGACCCTCTTACCGGGTATGTTTTAAACTATCTTTACTCTCAATCTGTTTTATGTTCAATGATTTATTAAAGTCTCTCTTATTAATGTTTCCCGTACAGGAAGATGTGACCCTTAGAGAACAAACCTTGAAGAGTCTGAAGTCAGATGACTCCAAAGAGTCGAAGGTGAGCCAGCAGAGCTTTGATCAAATGTTCTCTGACTGACTGAGATCAACTCTGTCCTGTTTTTACAGATTTACTAAATGTTTGATTTAAACTAAATCTCTTTTCTCCTCAGACGGTCCAGCTGCTGGATCCTGACACACACTGTTGATATCTGTTTATATGTATATATGTGTTTATGTGTTTATATGTATATATGTGTTTATGTGTTTATATGTATATATGTGTGTATATATGTGTTTATATATGTGTTTATATGTATATATGTGTTTTTATATCTGTTCCAGTCTTGTTTTTCTCAGACGATGGTTGAACACAAACACTTTCATCAGCGCTCCATCGGCTCTCTCACCATCAAGTTTAAATCTTTTAGAAATTAAAGATTGTCCCTTTCATTTCTTGGGCCGGCTGTGGATCAGTGGTGGTCGGTCGTCTCCCAAGTGAAAGGTCGGGGGTTCAATCCCCAGCTCCTGCAGCAACATGTTGATGTTTCTTTGGGCATCACCTATGGTGTAAAAAGAGCTTTTAGTAGTCTACTAGAAAGTACTAGAGTACTTGAGTACTAGAAAAACACTTTACTATCATGTCTGTAAAGTCACTTTAGAGCTGTAAGAGTAAGCATCATGCTGTTCAACAGACCAGACTCATCTTTTACCTCACACATTTATGAAGCTCAGTGTTTATTTGTCTGTTTTTTATTTTTATTGGTGAAACTGTAAAAAAGCTGAGCCGAGCTCAGAGGTTTTTAGTGTTATTTGTTGTTTGAAATATTCACTTTTTGTACAATGGATTTAAAATGACCAAAAGAAAAATAAATACCAAAGAAGTGAGAATTAAATATATTTAAATTAATAACTGCAGGGACTTCAAGTTTAAATGTTGACTCTTTATGTTCTTGTTACTATTGTAAAAAGGGATGAATAAAAACATTTGACTAAATCAAAGTGTCTGATTCTTGAACAATAACATCAAACTATTGAATATCTGTGCTCTGCTGACCTCTGGTGGTCAAAAACAGAACTGTTTGAGGGTCTGTTATTTTAACTTTAACACTGAGCTAACAATTGAAATATTTGTAAGTTAAAGGACAGTAAGAACTCTGAGGTCAAAGGTCAAAGGCTCAGTTCTGTGTAAAGCTCTGTGTTACATACTGAATGAGGAAGAACTCTGAATATTGAACTCTGTCTCATCAATCTCATCTTTCATCTTTTATTCAAACCTTTCTCTCCTTTCTGTCCTTTACTAAAATCTGACTTTTGTTTTTCTCTGTTTTTAAACGGTTTAATTCCCTTAAACTCAGAGGCGCTGCTTGTCAACAGGCAAGGCAACTGCTCGTAAATTTACGAGTTTATTCTCAGAATTTCAGATTTTTTTTTCATATACGTGGCCCTAATCCTCCGTTGTAAATATGAGACCAGAAAAGGCAGAAAAAAAATCAGAAAATTAAGACAAGCAGAGGAACTAAAGAACAATCGATTTAATGTCGTTTTCTTACCATTACAATGACTGGAAATAATTTAACTGTTCGCACAAAGTGTTGGCGCTAAAAGAAACAAATGGAGACTCTCAGAAAGTTATGTCTTTGACCACTAGAGGTCAGCAGCAGTGCACAGCTTTAAAACTGACATACATTTAAGAGCTTACATTTTTAATTAAGTGAATAAAATGAACAGTGTGGGTTAGGGTTAAAGGTTTGTGGATGGTAGAGAAATCCATTAAAGGACTAAAATACAGTTCAGGTCAGATTAAATTACACATTTCAAAGTACTCTACTTGTTACTGTGTTAGTGCAATACTCACACAGGTCACTAGAGGGCGCGTAGAGTTTCAGGAAACACAATACACCATCGTACCTCTCTGCCTCTTGGTGTCTACATACAGGTGTGTTAATGTCCTTAAATCACAGGTATGTACCCCAGTATGAAGGTCAGGACGGGTGTGAGTCTCTGTCAGTAACTTTAATGTTTACACATGATGTACTCAAATATACCCATCAGAAAAAGAGTTGATTCTATTTCACATGTTTTATTTTGGAGTTCCATCTTTTTAAAAATATATCTGTCTGTAATAACATCAACTGGAGTCAGTGTTTCAGGGATTTTTACATGTGTGTCACAGAAGGGAAACAGAAGCACGCCTCTAGCTTTGCAGAGTACTCCACACCCGGTCTCCCACATTACCAGCTCGCATTGAATGAGTGTGCAGTCAGGCCAAAGTGGAGTTTAGATGAAATGAGTGTGGTCTGTTCCGTCGTGGTCTTTCTCAGCGTCTGCTGCACCCTGAATGCTGTCTGTGGGTTAAGTACAACTCAGTCGGGGATCGGTGGTCGGGTCGTGAGACGATACCCTGGAGCCTGCGGCCTCATGACAGTGGTGTCCAGAGGTTTAGAAGAAAATCTGAAGTTAGCAAACACGAACATGAATGTAGCTAACTAGCTAATAGTTTGCAGATCTTGTCCAATATGGGTCATGTGGAATATATGTTGTGTTGTTCTGTATTGGTATTTTCCTGTTTGTTTATGTGCAGATGTGGTTGTTCTATTGTTGTTATTTATTGACTCGAGTGGAAGCAGCTTAATGTTTGGCAGCACTGTGAGTCCAAGACAACTTTCCCCGAGGGGACAATAAAGTGTATCGTAACTGCTACGTCTCAGGTCACAGACCTTTGAGCAAAGCAGGTGAGGAAACTGAGTAGTGATCTGTGTTCTGAAGTAACTGATCTCCCCGCTGTACCCACTTCTTATAGAACCGGACCAACCAATAAAACTTGATGAAGATGATTTGGTGGGGCAGTCAGAGCATCTCACGAGGCGTTTGTACACCGAGCAACAAGTCATGATGGACAAAGTGTGAGGTGTTGTCTTCATGTCTGTTTGCCTTTTTGTTTGTTTGTCCCCTTCCATGATATTCATTAATCTTCCTGTTTTATTATTATCTTTAATTAATTTGTTGTTTGGACCATAAAATATCACAACGTTTACCAGCGTTTACTTTATGAAGCGATGATAAAAAACAGAAACAATGCAAGTGATAGAGAGCAGACATCAGAACCATGGACAGAGTCAGAACAGAAATAAAATGTGAGACACAAATACATATTAGAAATAATCTGAAGAAATGTATTAAAACAGAGATGATTCTTTTTTCAAATGAATTGTAATTTTTTATTGTGATTATTTTTCAAATGATTTGTTTCTGTGGAAGGAAACCGAAGTGCTTAGAGTAAACCCACACCACCCAGGACTCCATGTGGGCTCACATTTCGTCCTTTGTGGCCCTGGTGGGACCTGAAGTCCTTCCTCGTATCCAGGTTAGACCCTCTGAGCTAGGAGCCAATGAGAGGCTGATAACAGAGAATAACCTGAACATGAGGTCTGACGTCAGGCCCCAGTAGACTTTTCTCACAGCTGTCATAGCAGGAGCTGAAAGGCTCGCTGCTACACAAAATGAAGGCTGTGAGAAAGGTTTGCCCCCCCCCCCCCCCCCCCCCTCCACCACACCCCACCTAGGGACCAGCGATGGTAACATCTGATTGATGGAGTCTGTGACAGCAGGTTTTGAACATTTCTATATGAAATAACAACTTTTAAAAAGGCCTTTTAGGTTCTTTCTCTCTTTTTAAATGTTTGTGTTCCCCACTGAAGACCCTCCGAGTGCTCCAGACTTTAAATATTATATTCTGTCCACAATTTCATGAAAGGAAAGGACAGCCTTTAAAAAAGCTGGACATCAGAATGTGGAGTTAAACATGAAGTGTATGCAGTCTTTATCCACATGTTTACAGTTTCTATGATTCTCACTTCTTTAATACTTCTGATCATTTAGACACAGAATGGAGGCTTCATCATTCACCAACGAGCAGAACTGAAACAGATGATTAAAGACACACGGATAGATGAGCTCATCAAAGGAATAAAACATCACATGACCTCTGATCGAGTCAGACGCCATGACAACATCCTGCAGACACAGGAAGTCAGTTCTTAGCCTCTGCAGTGAGAGAAGAGGAGCAGACATAATGACTCAGGTCAGAACGTTTTGATTCTTATATTTTATTTATTGTATGTGACCATCGAGAGAATGTGGCGGTTTAACGTGGTGCGCGTGGTCGTGTAAAGCAGGGTGTGGAAAACGTTTCCCTCGTGTCATCGATGTGTCTTATTGAGCGTCTTCTGGTCGGCGGTGTGGGTGAGAATATTTCCGCATTAAGAATTGAGAACTTACAATAACTTATCGTAATTTAGAGTGTTCAGTTTGATAATTCAGAAACATCAGAGTAGTAAACAAACAGGAAGTGAATTATTCCACAACTGCTGTTTTCAAACGTCTTTATTTACGATGTCAACGTGGTCATTAACGAGGTCATCTAACGTGGTCATTAACGTGGTCATCTAACGTGGTCATCTAACGTGGTCATTAATGAGGTCATCTAACGTGGTCATTAACGTGGTCATCTAACGTGGACATTAACGTGGTCATCTAACGTGGTCATTAACGAGGTCATTAACGTGGTCATCTAACGTGGTCATTAACGAGGTCATTAACGTGGTCATCTAACGTGGTCATTAACGTGGTCATTAACGTGGTCATTAACAAGGTCATTAACGTGGTCATCTAACGTGGTCATTAACGAGGTCATTAACGTGGTCATCTAACGTGGTCATTAACAAGGTCATTAACGTGGTCATCTAACGAGGTCATTAACGTGGTCATCTAACGTGGTCATTAACGTGGACATCTAACGTGGTCATCTAACGTGGACATTAACGAGGTCATTAACGTGGTCATCTAACGTGGTCATTAACGAGGTCATTAACGTGGTCATCTAACGAGGTCATCTAACGAAGTCATCTAACGTGGTCATCTAACATGGTCATCTAACATGGTCATCTAACGTGGTCATTAACGAGGTCATTAACGTGGTCATCTAACGAGGTCATCTAACGTGGTCATCTAACATGGTCATCTAACGTGGTCATTAACGTGGACATTAACGTGGTCATCTAACGTGGTCATCAATGTGGTCATTAACGAGGTCATTAACGTGGTCATCTAACGTGGTCATTAATGAGGTCATTAACGTGGTCATCTAACGTGGTCATCTAACGTGGTCATTAACGAGGTCGTTAACGTGGTCGTCTAACGTGGTCATTAACAAGGTCATTAACGTGGTCATCTAACGAGGTCATTAACGTGGTCATCTAACGTGGTCATTAACGTGGACATTAACGAGGTCATTAACGTGGTCATCTAACGTGGTCATTAACGTGGTCATCTAACATGGTCATCTAACGTGGTTATTAACGAGGTCATTAACGTGGTCATCTAACGTGGTCATTAAAGTGGTCATCTAACGTGGTCATTAAAGTGGTCAATAACGTGGTCATTAACGCGGTCATCTAATGTGGTCATCTAACGTGGTCATCTAAAGTGGTCATTAACGTGGACATCTGAACGTGGTCATTAACGTGGTCATCTGAACGTGGTCATTAAAGTGGTCATCTAACGAGGTCATCTGAACGTGGTCATCTGAACGTAGTCATTAACGTAGTCATTAACGTGGTCATCTAAACGTGGTCATCTGAACGTGGTCATTAACGAGGTCATTAACGCGGTCATCTAATGTGGTCATCTACCGTGGTCATCTAAACGTGGTCATCTGAACGTAGTCATTAACGTAGTCATTAACGTGGTCATCTAAACGTGGTCATCTGAACGTGGTCATTAACGTGGACATTAACGAGGTCATTAACGTGGTTATCTAACTAGGTCATCTGAACATGGTCATTAACGTGGTCATCTGAACGTAGTCATTAACGTGGTCATTATCATGGTCATCTAAACATGGTCATCTAACATGGTCATTAACGTGGTCATCTAAACGTGGTCATCTAACGTGGTCATTAACGTGGTCATCTAACGTGGTCATCTGAATGTGGTCATTAACGAGGTCATCTGAACGTGGTCATTAACGTGGTGCTGAGGCTAGTTAAGAATCACCGGTCTCAAAGTTTCCACTTCAGAGATAGTAAGGGGAGGGGTGAGTCAGTGGCCCGCTTCAACCACCCAGATCAGAAAAGTCTGGCTACCCACTGGAACCTGGGCCGCCTGTTTGAGGAATAAAACCTCTCCGTACACGGGAAGCAACCTAACCACTGGGCCATCAGCGCCCCAATTTAAGAAAAAATTTTAACTGAAAAATCCAAAGTGTTATCCATATGAAGCAGACGGGCTACCTTTACCCAGTCAGTTTTTGTAAAATAGAGATTTAGGCCACGTTTACACTAACATTTATCATCCTTTGAGATGTGAATACCTGACTCACACCTCTGCTGCTGTTCTCCTTCATGAACAGGAAGCTGCACTCTGATCAACGTTCAGACTTCAGATTCTTGTTCTCTGTGTGGCTCGTTTTAAATCATGAGACACAAACACTGACCAGAGAGAGAAGATTTCATCGCTTTTATTGAAGCTGTACAAAACATGAATGTCCATATTTACATACAAGATACTTGAATGATCTTTGAGTTTCCAGACTTAACCCTTTGAATTCTTGAATAATTGACCTTTAAAGTTTTTTAGCTGTCTTTACTAAACGACATTAGAAGAACTCAAAGTGAAAATATTTACAGGAACAGTTTCTGACATCTGAAACACAAGTTTGCCTTTAAAAAACATTTTTTTTAAATATCAAATGAAATATTTAAATTCAGTGATGTAGGTTTTCTGCATGTCTTATATTCAGCAGATATCTGGAAGAAAAGAGAAACACACCGACTGTTCTCACATTTAATCACGTCTTTCAATTTACTGCAGGATTTACAAAGTGAGCACATTTTACCTTTTCATTCAGTGTGTACAAAAACTCTGAAACCACAGTACCACATCCTGACCAGCAGGTGGCAGACAGCTCAACTTCAGTGTTATATTCATATATTTCTGTTGTTTTGAGAAATGAAGTCCTGAACAGTAAATGGAGAGAAGATGCTCAACATCAGATTCTGAGGAAATATGAAATCTTAAAATAAACTTTTAAGTTTTAGAAATACTTTTACCCACATATAATATTTATGTTTTACCATATGTTTAATTAATTGTTCAGCTGGTTATAGTTTTATACTTTTTAAACGAAGTTCAGTTTTTTTAAACTTAGGACATGAACTAATCTGAAACACTTGGTGAGGTGTTCGTACTTATCGAGCAGCAAAGGAGATAAAAACTTTAAAACAGATACAGAAAAACAAACAGTTTTTTATAAAAAAGCATTAATAAAACTAAATGTCTGCTTTTTATTAAATTTTTCCCAGTCGACTTAAGATACCGTTCTAACTCGTCCTCGTTCAGAACATTAAGGGTTTTTGGACAGCAGGAACTTTTCATAGATCTAGGAACTGTTGGAACCCCTCCCCCTTTTTTAATGATTCCACTGCAGGAACTATGAACTATTTTAGTTCCTTGAACCCGTTCAGAGGAACCTTTTAGCTCCTGCTTCCCTGTACATATTCTCAAAGCACCATGGCGGTGTGAATGCAGTCAGAAAAAGTCCCCATGGTGGAGAGTGCCCCTTAAAGGAAGAATGTGTGACTTTTTTAATCCTGTAGATGGCGCCCTTGAGCCCTAGCATGAAACCAAAACAAACTTCTGTTAGGCCACGCCTCCTCCATACTGAAGCCTCCGCTCTCCTCCAGAGACACACCTCCAGCCCCCCTCCACTCACATTTGCACGGAGAAGTTGTGTGAGCGGTGGACAAAATTGTCCTTTGCTGGAGCTGCAGTCACCTGTGTCCTGCATTGTTGTGTTAGCATGCTAATGTTAGCGCTCTTTAGTTAGCTCGTAGCTTCAACTACCTGTGTCCTGCATTGTTGTGTTAGCATGATAATGTTAGCGCGCTTTAGTTAGGTCGTAGCTTCGATTACCTGTGTCCTGCATTGTTGTGTTAGCATGCTAATGTTAGCGCTCTTTAGTTAGCTCGTAGCTTTACATTGCATGTAAACTGATACAGAATGAGCGTGATCTAAAAACTCTTACTAACATCCAAATAATCAGTGAGTATGTTCTTCTTCTCTCTTTTGACTAAAACAGCTTTTACACACAAGGGGAGGAGCCGGCCGTCCCATCCATATAAACACGGCTCTGACAACAACACAGCCAGCGGGACTCGAGCTTCACACTCATTGTAGACAGTCATGACTCAGAGACACATTTACACAGGCGATACTGGATCTCTGATATATTGATGTGTCGCCATTCTTCCTTTAAGATACCGCTCTAACTCGTCCTCATTTTGAACTTTGTTAGCTTGGACTGAGGTTTTTCTGAATTCTGCAGAGATAATGTCCCAGAATCCAGCAGGATAATAATACCTGGATCCTGGAGAACATTTAGTCTGCAGGGCTCAGAGAAATGTCTGCATGTTTAGGGCTGTTCTGAAACACCCTGAGGAGAGAAAAGAGTTACTTTTAAACTTGAACTTTTTGGAAATGGACAAAGTTAATCTGAATGAGTTAGCGATCATTGAGCTGAAAATCTCTGCAGTCTGTTTATTTGTTAGGATCCCCATTAGCTGTACCCGAGAGCTCCAGACAGATATTTAAACAAGGTTAAAAGAAAGCGAAAAACGACCAAAACCTCTTTGCATATCTTACAGATACGATGCCCCGAGGTGTTTCTTTGTTTGCTTTAAAAATTGATTTTTGTGTTCATTTAGTCAAGAACAATGGTGAAGCATCCATGTTGTCATTGCTCTATATGACTGTACGTTGTTGCTCGTCTGGTGGCGTATGCATGTGACTCTAAATTCTGACTGTATTGATATAAAGGCGTTTTGAACTGCTCAAGTTTCCATGTAGCAAGTAGAAGTGAAGATGTGATCCACTGTCAGCCAGCTGAGACGACTTTGCATGATGTTGATGTTAGTGTTATACGGACACTGAAGAACCAGGCGTGCCGCCTTGTTCTGTACAAGCTGCAGTCTGCTTCCACCTTTTTTTGTGGGGCATTTCCCCAAATTATCTGGAAATAATCAAGCTGTGAAAGAACTAGAGTACCCAGAGCAAGCTTCGTTGAGTCAGGAGTAAGGTATTTTACTACAGCTGTTGACCTTCCCATTTTATTGACGGTAGTGTGTTTGTGTTTTGATCAGGACAATTTGTGATTCCCAACAGTTGAGTTTCCTTTACTTGCTGAATCGTTGTTATTTATAAAGAGATGAATCTCCGGCTCGTGTCTTAGAGAATGATTTGAACCAAATACTAAACTCATTGTTTTGGATGTGTTCAGTCTGAGCTTATTTTCCAGGATCCATCTTCCTGTGGTATCTAGCTCCTTGTTCATGATAACAGTTTAATCAGCAGGTGTTGTTGCTGATGTATATACTGTACTATCATCTGCGTACATAATTCATTTAGCATTTGTTAATACGAGAGGTAAATCATTAGTAAAGATGGAAAACAGGAGGGGGCCGAGACAGTTTCCCTGAGGAACACCACATCCCACAGACACATAGTCTGAGTAGCTTCCATTAAAGGAGACTCTGTGATCTTTTTGATAGCTCCTCAATCAATAACACTCCAGCTTTTTAAGAAGAAGCTTGTGATTGATGACATCAGTCTAACAGGCTATAGGCATGTTGGAATTATTTGATGAAGTTATTCTCTGAAAGGTATTTTTGTATTTGATGAAAAACTGCTCTATCAAAGATCTTACTGAGTGCTGGTAACACGCTAATGGGACGACTGTTAGTCTCACCTCATCTTTGTTTCCTCTTAACATCAAGTTGTCTTCTGGTTTCTTCAAAAGGAAAAATTGAAAGTGAGCGACATTTAATGATCTAACTGTGAAGCTGATTGAGAGTAAAGAGATATAAAACATACCTTGTCGGGAGTTCCTGCTGAACTTTTTTCTGCAAGACAACATGAAACAAATCATTGATGGTATCTATAATGAAACATGATCATGTTTTTATTGTCACATTATAAATTCTTACTTCTGTTTAGAAAACGTTTTATCTTCACTCTGTAACACCACGCTGTTAATGCCACAAGCACAAGAACTAAAAGAACCACAACAACACCGACTATCAGTCCAGTCCAGTCTGATGGTATATCTCCACACTGAGCGTCCTCTGTCTTAGTTCCTGCTCTCAGCAGCAGCAGATCCTCTGATTCACATCTGTAATGATAGAGGGACAGTTATTACAGGAATAGCTGGAGAGTCCATGTGTGATGTGAAGCTTCACTCACTGTTTGTGATTCTGACAAGATGTAAACGTCCCATCTGAAAATGTTCCATCAGAGCAGGTCGAGCACACAGTGTCTGTGGAGGAAGTTCCTGCAGGAAATACACACAGTGACAGTTTTCGATATTAAACTAAATACATGATGAGATCTTTAAAGCAGAATCTCAGAAAGAAACACCTGAAAACATTTTTTTAGTTTGAAGTCCAGATTAAAGCTTTAAATGTATGATCGATGAGCTGCAAATGTACAGAAAGAACAATTTCACCTGATACCAAGAAAAAGTATCTTAAACTTAATAAACTTATATACTTATATCAATCTTTGATAACTTTTCATTTCATGTATGAAATATTGCAGACATATCATCCATGCAGTCTAAAATATAAACCAATCAGAGACTCTGAACAAACCAAAGAAAATAAGTTCACTAATATTTGTGTCTGGAAATAAGATTAATATCAAACGCTAAAGTTACAAGTTCTGCCACCAGATGGCGCATGAATTCATCCCAAGGTAGAAAGCCAGAGAGACAGAGAGACCTGAAGCTCCCCAAGGCTTCCTACAGACCTTGATATATTTAGTGTAAACTCAGCATGTTGTGTGAACACCTGCAGTGTGATTTGATCAGATCAGCTGCTCCCTTTGACTATTTTCTGTGTAAACAAAACCAGCTGCAGCTGCTCTGGTGAGAGTAGCCAGTCGGTCTTCATGCTGCAGCATCGCCTCCGTGCTGCGGCCTGAAGCACCAAGACCTTCTTCAGGCCCATGAAGCACTCAGGCGAGTGATCCTCGGGTCTGTGTTTTCACATCCTTAAGGAATGTAATCATGCGTTTGTTTCACTTTCACTCTGACTCAAGTCCTCTCAGCTTCTCTCCTGACAATAACTTGAACTTCCCTTTAGTCACCAGTTCATCTGTAGCTACAGGAACAGTTTGATGTTGGAATAACACAAACAGCTCATTGCTTCAATTCTCGAGAGGAATATTTAGTTTATGTTTGTGTGTGTGTGTGTGTGTATGTGGAGTTACACGTATGAACCCACCTTTCTGACTTATGTATTCTCCTGGTTCACAGCGTCTGTGTTTCTTTGCTTCAACACAGTCGTACCCTGGAAACTCTGAGCAGTAAAATCCTTCCAGAGGTTCACAAACTGTGTCTGATCGTATCGTACACGACGTCTTCATCTTCAGACCAGAACCTGTCGACACAAAGAGAGATAAATACAGACATACTCAACTGCTTAAAGACTAAACAGCAACATGATGAATCTGACTATTTAAAACATCTTCAAGCTGTAAACTCAAAGGAAAACATCTGAACCAATAAGAGATTCAGATTTAAGGTTTGCTCTAAAAACAAACTGAAAAAACAGGAAATACAGAGAACAACACTCCAGCTGCAGTTTCCTCATCAAGGACTCAGTAATAAAACTGCTGCCTTTAAATTAAAAAGGTAATAAAAACAACATCAACATTAATTTACCTGCTCCACATTCTCTGCAGGACAAACATTTTTTTAGTCCGTTCATTTTATTCATGAAAGTCCCCTCTGTGCACGGCTGACAGGACGTACTTTTGTCCTCCTCACAGTCTGTTTTTACTCGATTCCCTGTTGAAAAGACAAAACTTTAATGTCATGCAATCTGGAAAAGGACAATGTTGGATTTCAAAGATCTCAACGTGTTTTATATAACAACATGCTCTCTGAGACCTTCGCTAATAATCAGATAGTTCCACAGGGGTCTGTCCTGGGTCCACTGTTACTTTCACTCAGAATTGTGTTTTTCTCGCTATGCAGATGATTTGCAGTTGTACATGACAGTAGTCTTAGTGAGGGGGTCTGATACAGTTAAAGTTGAGGCCTGTCTGGCCACTCTTAGAAGCTGCACTTATTTTTCAACATCAGAGGTTGCCGCTTTGTCTTAGACACTTGCGGTGGACACTTTGTGTTACGACAACAAAAACCTCAAATTATCATAAGTTGCTTCGTAACTTTTTATTTTATTTCAGGCAGCAACAGTCAGAGAAACCTCCGGAGAAATCCTGGAGGGACAGATTGACGATCTTACCGATGGGGCACATCGGACAGCACTCGTCTCCAAACAGATATTCTGTCCGATGGCAGGTGAGGGTTCGACTTACGAATATATTCACCATAAAAATCTGTGAAGAGAAAAAGAAACATCAGAAACATTCCTGTGGTGATGAAGCAGATCAGAAGTTTGAGGTTATCTTTAAACTGCTCTGAATGTGGGATGATGGAGGCTGCTGAAATAACACACTTGGTGGTTACACCTCTGACACTTCACCTTCCCACTCAGGGGAAAACCAAATGTACTTTTTCTTTAAAGGTTCAACCTTTCCTACACCTTCTCTCCACCCACAGAGGGAAAAACCAATCAGAAGATGAGATGTAGCTTTCAGTGAACAGAATAATACAGTCCTTCAGGGGAAAGATCACAAAGACAGAAGTGTTGAAGATGAGGAGGATCAAGTGAAGATCATTTACCAGCAATAAAACCGTGAACCGAAGATTTCTTCTGAACTTCATTTTAATCAAAGTTTTCTGGGGCTGAAGACGTCATCTCACTCAGATTAAGGAACGAAGAGAAATAAAAATCCCTGACGACGACATCACCTGAAAACAGAAAGAAAAATGCAGAAATTAAACACCGCTGTGAACATGATCACCTTTATAGAGTACGCGCGGAACAGCAGTTCTTCAATCTGTGTTCCCACACGGACCGCAAAGCAGGAGCACACCTCAGGGTGGAGGAAGTTAGTAGTTAAAGTTCAAACATAAACTGTGCAGATTACTAGTTCCTGGAGTCCTGTCGGTTTACATATAACCGGGATGGAGTTCTTTTTACAGACTGACTCCAAAGTGTCGTTTTCATTTTAAGCGCTCCAGCAGCGCTGCGGTGCAAAAGAGGAGACGCGTCTGTGTGGGAGCATAACCTGCAGCATGATAGAATGAACACCTTCCCTCCTCAACAGACAGCCTTTTGATAGTAATTCTGAACGGGCCAAAGCCACAACAAATGCCATTGAAGTTCTTATATCGACAGAGGGAAATATTAATAGTTCTGTGATGAAACTGTCCCAGATGTGATTAGCTTTATTATGTGCTCAAAGGGCATTCAAAAAACTGTTGCCTTCATAAACTGAAAGGTGTCACTGTAATTTAAAAGAAATAGTTTTTTACATATAGGCTATATTAATTACTTAATTTCATTCTAAAATGCTTTATTTCATTCATATCTTTTATTTATTGGAGACTCTTTTGGTTGAAGGATGCAGCATAAGTTCATTTTTTATTTTTCATGTTTAATTTAAAATGTTATTGAAAAGTAACCTGAGCAGGTGTACAAGTCTGAACTTGTACACTTTCACTTCTGGGTGAAATTCTCGAGCATGCGCAGAACGCAAAGTCCGATTCCGATACGATGGCTGAGTTTACACGCCGTTAGTTTGCAGACTATGAAGGACTTATCGAGGTGTTCTTTTCCGATGATGAGATGTTCGTTATGGTCTGATGTAGGTCGGACTAAGATGTTTACATGCATTTAAAAAGTCCAAACAGTGTTGATGTGGTTTCCTCTGTTGTTGTTGATATGTTTGATGATGAAGAAATTCACCGTTGACACTGACTTGCTTTCAAAAAGGATTATTTAATAACAATATACAGCATCTCCAGGCTCGCCATGGTTCGACCTGGGAGAGTCACAAAGCCAAAAGTGATCTCTCCCGAACACACAGAAACTCTGGTATTTATGGACATCTTCTTCCTGTCCCCGGGCAACTCTCTGGACACAGGGGCCCCATTGTACACATTCCACTGTGGGGGCTCCTGTCTTAGATTTAGGATTTCCGGTCATCACCAGTCTCAGATATAATTATTTCCAGATGTGTGCGTTATACAACTTAAAGTAGCAGTATATTATCTCTGTCCTAGATATTTAAGACACTTCAGCGTCTGATACGATCAGAAATTTGAATATCTAGCACCATGTAACCCTACTGAGAGACTTCACTCTCTGCTAGTCTCAATTAAACCCAATTAACTCCACAAGCTCCTCCCCTTCCCAGATCCAATGAACTTAAAGCTGTTTCAATTAATCTCCTACATCCAAATTATACATTTTAATGTAAATATTGAAACACTTAACTTATTACTTTAAATAATGAAAAAACCTCTTCTATTTAAATCATTTAAACATAAAGACTGTCCACATACAAACCCAAAATATTACAAAGTGAACCACAATTTGAACATGAAAAGCAATAAGGCTCCTACAGTATTAAATCAGAGTTGAGCTCTTACCCTGCAGAAGATTCAGACTCCTTCAGAGCTGAACTTCCTGTTTCTGTCCAAACACTCTCAGTTTAAACAGTGGGAGGATTCATGTGACTTATTTCCACATGACTCAACATGAGGATGTCTTGCATGTGTTGTAGTTCCTCTTAGATCTTTATCTTGTATTGGACTTTAATCCTGTGTCTCTTACAGGACAGAGTCCAGCAGAAATCCTCTTCTCTGATTTTAAACTGAAACACTTCTCTCTTTTATCTTTAATGAAGCCAACAAAGATCATGGTTACATTTTAATCATCATTTATCCCTGAGAGGTCACCACAATGATCACATGACTAACTCTTCTGTCAGTGAGCATGAATCTGTGGTTTCAAGACAAACATTTCTCTAAAATAAATAAAAAAATTCTCAATCCTCTAAAATAATTTGAACCCCTGCAGCTGATTCAGTTCAGTGTTTGTCACTAGCGTCGAGTCTGTTCCAGCTTTGTCTGAATAGTTCCATTTAACGTCGACTGATTCTGACCGCTGAAGAGTCAGAAACAGAAAGAAGCACAGAGAGTGTAGCAGCCATTTCGTGCACAGCTCTCAACGTTCAAACAAAAATCGGAACAGACATGAAACATGTCGCACTTACACTGGAAGACTTTAACATACTAACAAAAGACTGTAACAGAGTTTTAACCTGCTCTGTGTGACTCATTTTAAAGAAATGTGAAGAGAAAAAACAGCTACGTACCTCGTTACATGGACAAGAACAGTCGAACGTCACTACGGC